TGCCAGAGTCCCAGGTGCTCCTGTTGCTGTTTCCATTCTTTGGGTAGAGCTTGGTGTCGTGAACTGCGCTTGGATGAGCTGTTATAAATCATTAACAAGAACCTGCTTTTACAAGTAATTCTGGCAAGAGACCTTTAAGGTCACCTGGAACAAACTGCTGTGGATTTAGCTGATTAATTCCTTTCCTCTGCATTTCCTACTGGGAGTTATTTGGCCTAGTGACTTTGATGGGCATTGTGTTTCGAAGTTATGATCACAGTTAGGCTCAATTTAATGCTGATCTGTTAATGTGAAGTGTCTGAATACAGCAGAATCAGGATTGCAGGTTATTATTTTTTTCCCTTTTATTTTTCTTTTTGCATTTATTCACCCAGATCTTGAATTGCTTTAGCTGTGCATTGGATCAGTGTACAGCACTGGAAAGCCCAAAACTGCCACTGGATTCCAGGGATAATTGCATCATCCCTGTGGAAAGATACATCCCTGCTCCCTGTGGGCGATGTGAGTTCTATAAAGCAGCTCTATGCAGACACTCTGCTTTGTGGTTATTGCATTTGCTTCTTCCTGGCCTGTTGACGCAACACCAGGAGCCTAAGCAGAGTCAGGCCAAACTGAAGAAACCTGCAGCCTTTTTCTTCAGTAGACCACAGGACTAGCAAGTTTTGCCAGCTGTGCTGAAGTAAACAAGAGTRCAAAATATTTCCTGTAACTACAATATGACCTGCTGCATAAAGTCAAGTAATTTGTCCTTCCTTTGAAGAGTGGGTTGATCCCCTGGCCTCAGGCCCCACGGAGGTGACAAGTGCAACTTGCAGGTGGATACAGATACTGCAGGGTAGATGCTGAAGGTAGAACAGAGCCAACACAGAGCTCTGAGTACATGTAGCTCTGCAGCGGGAAGGGTCCGTTTGCATATGTAATCTGTGCAGTGATTATTACACAGCACACAGCTGATGAAAAGATCTCCCCTGCTAATTACAGCGTGCTACAAGTAGGTTAAAGCAGAGAACAGCATTATCCAAGCAAAASAACAAACCCAGCACTCATCTAACAGACGAGAGTCTCATTTTGTATTTAAAAGGCAACTGCACGTACTAGCCATTCCCCAGCTCGCTGAAACGTCCTCGAGCTGACGTAACAGAGATGCCACCTTTCTCTGACTTCTGAGAAGCAGCCTCGCGTTGTCATGTGCTGCTCTGGATCTCACATGATAGCGGCATGAGACCAAATATTGCTCCTCCTTTTGCCTTTTTTTTTTTTTKCTTTTTCTAGAGTTACTTTAACTAATGAACTTGTGGTTCTAATTATCTTCCTGAAAATACTTAAGTGTAATTTTTAGCCTTCACTTAAATTACTGTTTAGTTAAARCACTTAAGCAACAGTTTGAGACCTCATAAACAAATGGAAATTTGTAAGCACAGAGTGAACCCTGGCAGCCTGCTTCTACTGTAATTTATTGGGAGTTACTTCACTAAGCTGACACAGTCATACGGCTATAAAATCAGAGGATGTATAGGAGGAGACTTATGATCTGGCCAGTGGACTTTGAATTCCCCCTTGTGACATCTTCCATGCGCAAAAGAGAAAGAGGCATCCAAGTCCTAAGGTCTCACGCCTGAGCACGGCTGGAGCCTCGTTCTGCTTCTGTCCTCGGCTTCCMCACGTTGCAGATGACCACGGCATGTGCGTCCAGGGCAGAATGGCCTCAGAATCCCCAGTCCTCTTCAGGTTTGTCAGACATGTCCACATCTGTGCCATCAACTGGGGTCACCAAGCGTCATCAGTTAAGACTGGAGAAATCCCAAACACCAGGGAATTTCCAGACTTCCCAGGCAGTGGGTATTTCTGTGCTGTGATGCCTGGAAAACTTTGATCGAAACGTGCCAAAAAAGGGCTTAGTTTATGTTCAATTAGAAGGAAAGGGTGCTATTATCTGCACCAACATCATTACTCCTCCAAACTATGAAAGAGAGTAATTATCATAATTATAAAAGTTACTGTCTGAAACAGCTGACTTGCCCAAATTAGAGCTGACAACTTCCTCCTTCASTGAGGCTGGAACATACTCAGCAGCTAATGAAATACTTGCACTGGGAAGCAAAATTCAGATTTAAGTTAATTACTTCCTAGGAGTGAAGGAGAAAGGACTCATATGCMAGTATACTAGTTGAAGACGAATGGAGTATGAAAAACTGCAAGTTAACAATTATTAATTTCTATATTCCACTATCCATTTAAAAATGTGAAGGTGCAGATTTTCCCCCACAAAAAGATGCTTAAACATATTTTGGGGTTCCTAAACATCGAAAACAACTCAGCTATTCTGAAATYACCTTACCAATATTCCTGACTCCATGATTAGAAATCCAGGAACTTTCTTCTTGAGTAAATCTCAAGGCAAAATAATAGGGTAAACATCACAGAGCAAGATGTCTGTAGTGACTGGAATCACTACAGATGCCAATGTTTTAAAAGTACAACAACAGTTTAGCACATGGATAGTTGCTGACAGACAGCACAGCTGTTTATCATCTCTTTAAAAGATGTGGAGGTGTCTCTGTGTATGATGTGGAAGCAAACACTAACTTTTCAGTAGTGACCAGTGTACAATTCCATCCTCAGTGTGCTCTTCACAGCAAATTAGCTGTTTTTGTGCTCACTGTACTTTGGCTTGCCATGCTTCTTTTCATCAGCTTCAGCACAGGACTTGCAGARGACAAACCTCAAAGCAGGCCGGTCCATCTCTCCAACTCGGGCTGCAGCACTAAGTAGCAGAGTTCTCTCATCACTGTAGACCAGGTTTTTAAACTCTTCTTTCTCCATAAACATGCCTAAACATTCCCATTAGAGAAAATCCAACTCAAGAAAACTACTATCAAAATAAAGCACTCSATGCATAAACCGATGTCCCACTGAGGAGACAGAGGAGATGAAATGTTCTCAGATACTTCCATGACAATGGGGGTAAGAAAGTTTGTAGACCTTTAATAAAAGGAGTTAAGTGATTGTCACTGGTTGGTAGAGCTTCATGGCTTTCATGTAGCAACACTGATTTAAATGGCTGGAAATCTGGACTTTAACCTTGAACACAAGCTGACAGACTGGCAGGCTCTCCAGAAAGTTTCCGAGGCAGCGACGTCACCAAGCGCAGCTGTGCACAGGACTTTGCTCTGCCCTCGCACACAGGACACGCCAATCCCTTCTCCAGCGAGACCCAGATGAAGAATAAGAGGCAGGAACTGCAAGCTCAGCATGTTTATGAATAGACAAGAAACTTCCCCTTCACACAGAGGTTACCACTGTGCTCTGAAAATAATGACTGTTTGGCCCGTCCCCCTCCTCTGACTGTACCACTGCCTCCAGCTTACTGGGGTGACTGGCAGCCAGCAGCACCCAATATTCCAAGTTATTACATGAAAAAAACMCTCAGCGTGAGGTAGAATAAGTGGTTGCCGCTTGGAATGAGTTAGGGAGGAACCATTTGGGCCGCTTTTGCTGGAGGGGTTTGCTTGGCTTGCAAGGTCGTTTCGAGCGAGCTCCCTGAACTTTGAACCGCGGCGGCGCAGGCAGATAAACACGAGCTGCATAAATAGGGCAGCCCTCGTCCCGCAGTGCTTCCCTGCACAGCCCCGCGGGGCCGCCGAGCCGAGCGGGCAGGAAGGGGTAAGTGTGTTGCTTGTGCTGCGAAAGAGCTCCAGGACTTGGGATTTGGCAGGCTGCACTCCTTTCTTTGGCTGGAATTCCCCAGCTGTGGAAATTTCCATTGGAAAGCAAGGAAAAAGTTGCTACGTTAAGGGGAGCGTGAGGAGAAGCCAGTTCTCATCTGGCTCGCGGAGCCCGGCAGCTGCTGGAAGCCCTGCAGGAGCCGGCAGGGTGCTCGGAGCGGCGCGGGGCTGCGCCACGCACCAAGGGCAGGCAGCTTCCCAGGCACAGGGAGCACAAAAACGCCCCCAGAGGCACCAGGGGGGCCACAGTTTCACCCTCAGAGCACCCTGCCCCAATGCCGCCGGTAGAACTGCGGGGAACGGTAGGGCAAGCAGGGTCTTACAGATGTTGGGTTTCTCTTGCTTCAAAAGATCAGTAATTAAAATGTGTTGTTTTATTGGAATATGGGAAGACTGAYTGAAATCAGAGTTTAGTGTTTCCAAAATATTCTGTGTTTTCGTTGAAGTTGATGTGAATGGTGTAACGGTGAATGCCCACAACCTAGGGCACGTTGGAGAGTAGCTTTTAAGTTTCACTGCTCCTATTCTGAACATATTAATCTAAAATTATTATGTAATTGGAATAAAAGCATAATTACAGAATTTCTTATATTTTCTGATTCTCCTAAATACCAAAAGGATTCAGTGTAGATTTCGCAACATCTGGGAACTACTGAAGTGAGTTTTCATTTCCTGTTTTTGCAGAATTGTGTCTAGTGTTTGCAGTCTTAAGAGATTTTTCTGAATGCTACCAAATTCTAAAAATCTTTTAGTTTCTTTTTTCCTTTTTTTTTTCTTGCCAGTTTATATAATATTTTCTATGTACCAACCATCCTGGTGGTGTAGCCACTTTAAAATCATTGGAATTGTGCTGCACAGGAGTCAGATTAGAATCYGGACTGGTCTAGCTTATTACTGGTATAAACTGGCTCAGCAGCACCACTGCCTTCAAAGCAGAAGAAATGAGATCACTTTAATATCACTGAAATGTTAAAATCTGAAATACTGCAGAAAGCAAGAAACACCAAGATTTATTTTCATTTCCATTAAAAAAAAAAAAAAAACATGCTTTGGCTGTTAACATATACAAAAATCTAGAATTATTTATTATAGGGAAATTCCATGGCAAAACCTAAGAAATACGCCCAAGCAGCAAATGTATTGTTCAAACACATCCTTCTGTATAATTAAACTGCATGGATCMACTATCCTGCTGTGTTTTGTTATGAGAATTTCAGAGTCTGGGCTTTCTTTTAGCTCGGACCTCATTTTGTTTGTTTTCTCTTTCCAGATAAAGCCCAGCCATGTGGGCAGGGCTGGGGCTCCTCCTGAGCCTCTGCCTCCTCCCCGGAGGAGGGGCAGAGATCCAGAACTGCCAGGAGCCCCCGGAATGGCAGATTGGGGAGGAGAGCCCCATGCTCAACGCCCGGGGCTCCGTCACGGTGGTGGCTCTGCTGCAGGCCAGCTGATACCTGTGCCTGCTGCAGGCCTCCAGGTGAGTGCAAATCCCTCTCCCACTTTTTGTTAACACACGATTGGTCCTTTCTAAAGGACCAATCTGAGGATAACCCATGTACTGCAGACACACACAACGAACTCCTCAAATGCCAGCAGTACCTGCTTGGATGTGTGGCCTGGCCCACGTTGATTCCCAGCAGGAGCATTTTGTGCCAGTGGTGCAGGTTCTTCTGCTGTTGGCTTGGTACTTGTGACAAGTTATCTTTTCCAGGTTGGAGTCACTGCATAAAAAACAACTGGATATTAATAAAAAACATAGCACATGGAAGTCCACCAGAAACAGTTTCTCAAGAGCTATGTACTTCAGGTGACAACATAGCAAAGGTGCTGAAGCCAGGAAACATCCCAGTTCTCCGACATGGAGAGAAACGCCTTAGGGACGCAAACATTTTACTAATGTTCCATATAACCACATATATTGAATCACATAATCTTTATATAAGATGTAGGGGAGAAAGCTGTGCATTTTTAATGTACTTTCCTAATCCTGTTGAAAAAAGAAAACTCCAGAAGATACGTTAAGCCATGGCCTTGCAGAAAATAGATCTTAGTAACTCCCAGCCGTAAGACGCATAAATTCATAACGTCATAGTCCTTATAGTTCTCGAAAGTTTCTCCAGAAATGGATTTCGGAGGGAAAAAGAAAAAAAAATAAAARGGTGATAAATCTCAGGCTCCATCCAAGTCAAAAGTGGGTTTTGTGGTTGGTTTTCAGGGTAGTTGGATCTGATTCCATGTATTTTGGATAGGCTTCAAAGAACCTTTCAGACTCAATACCTTAAAAAAGTTTTTGTTTCTCTGAAACTGAAAAAAACCCAAGAGTTTTCCAGAGCCATTCAGTGAAAGAGAATGATTTTGATACAAATTAAATGAGTGAAAAGCACTGCGAGAAAGCAGCTTTCTGTACTACAAAGAGAAAGACTATGTAATGTACATACTGTACGACTAGATGTAGCACATTGATAAAAGCCATCCAGCTCATGCGTCAATTCCATAGCCATCCTTTCATTCCAGTGGTCATGACATCCCTTTTCTGGTTAGTATGGAAAATGGCCATGTTGAGGGGGAGAATTTTCAGACCTGCAGGTTTGGTCTCTTGTTTATCCACTGTCCTGCTGCATTCGCTCTGTGCATATTCTGCCAGTCACACAGCTCCTAACTGAGCACTTAAGTGAAGACATCAGATAAGCTGAAGAAATAACGGGAGAGAAAAACTCCAACAAAAAATAGTATGCAAACATGTCTGCTTGATTTAGTACCATCAATATATTTAGTACTATATTTAGTACTAAAAGGACAAGAAACATGACATGTCACTACACTGCCTGCTGTTGTATGATCTGGTTTGGTGGAAACGTAGTTGATAGTGATGGCAAATGGCAAGAATTTGTTTTACTAGTTTTAAACTTGCATCCATTAAAACTCTGAGGAAACTACATTCACCTTAATGAAAGCTGGATGGAACTTATTAGTTGCATGCACGTATTCAAAAGCATGCATGCATTCAAAAATAACATTTTATCTTGCAAAAGAAAATATTCTTATGATTCCCTGCTGATTAATCATCATTTTTCTTTACATTCTTTGTTAGATTGGAGGACCTGCGAGTGAAGTTAGAGAATGAAGGACTGGTCAATGTCTCGTATATAGTTGTCAACCACCAGGGAACTCAGTCACAAAGGAAATTTCACCTCCTGAAAGAAAGTGTTTCAGACTATATTACTGTCTACCAGCAGGACGAGCAGCAAGCTGATGTCTGGACTACCTTAAATGGAAACAAAGATGATTTTCTCATTTATGACAGGTTTGTGTATAAAAAGGGGAAAATATTTGTACGTACTTAAAATAATGCTTTGTAATTTATCATAATTCATTGATTTGCAAATAAGTTAGTTACTGCACAGCACAGACAATATAATCAGCTTCTGAGTTGCACTATGTAGAGAATTTCCACTTTTACAGAAAGAAAGAAGCTACAAACCACAAGTCAGCTTTTGTTTACAAAAGTATAGTTACTATATATTGAAACTGAGAGCACACAGTGTGATCCCTACACTGTCACTACGTTTCTGTGAAGAACATTCTCAAGTCATACTGAAGCATAATTAAGTTTAATGAAGAATTTGAATTTTTTTTTCTTCTACTATGAAGAAAATTGCACAAATGAGATAAATTAGGCCTGTGGGCTGCAACGAACACTCGAATGATCCTCAGAGGGAATGGCTACTTCTGCAGCAAAAATGCCTGCAGATCTGGGTGGAAATTTGTTGTCACCTGAGAGAGGAACACAACAAAGCTGTATGTAGCCTGTGAAGGGACCCAATATGTCCCTGCTAGCAATGAAGTTTGTGCCCATTGCTGCTCCTCGAGTGCACCTGTGCAGAGAGCTCTGGCTGGAGACCCTTGTTGTCCGCATTGCAAGCAGGGCACTCAGTGTGGTGCCCGCTGTGCAACTGCCACGTTTGTTCCAGTTACTCACCCCAACCCTGGACAGCTGTCGCAGGGCAAACATGCACCATCACACACTACGTGCATGTTTCCCACCGAGAAACACGTTATACTGCATTAAAACATCCCTTGCATGAGTGCAACCACACTGTGATATAGATCACTATGCCAAGAGCAGTCCTCCTCAGCAAGTTAGCTGTGTGCAGGGTGTTCCTTTGGTARTCTCAGTGCTGCTAAATGGGGGGCGTCTGCCAAGGGAATGTGTCAGCAGGAAATCACACTTCACCCTATTAACTGCCAGAGCTGAGCAGGCAAAAGTGTGTAATGAAGATAGTGCCTTTTACTCCTGGCAGTCCTAGAAACAGTCCAGAAACAGTCTCTGTAGGACTGTAACAGTATGGGAGGCCTGGGGTAAATAAAATAAGAACATATTACGAAGAGAGATTTAATCATGTATACATGTTTATTTATATGTAACTACAAAATTCTTTTCGTCCTTAGATGCGGCCGTCTTGTGTATCACTTGGGTCTGCCCTACTCCTTCCTGTCTTTTCAATATGTAGAAGAATCTATAAAGATTGCATACTGTGAAAACAAGTGTGGAAATTGCTCCTATACGGTATTTTCTTATTTAATTCTGTACATATGAGGAAGGGAAAGTGGACTTTTAATCCCCAAATACATGACTTCTTGGAATCTAAATATTTCACGCCTGTTTCCTATAGAATTTTAAAATATTTTTCAAAATGAAGCACATCTAATTTAGAAGCAACTGATTATTCCTTCCCTTGATAGAAATGTGAATCATTTTCAGTAATTTAAGTCTGATCATGGATGCTGTTCAATTCCTGGAGTTTCATAGACTTGGTGGCATTCAGTATTCCAGTCTTGGCAGGCAAGATAGGTACTTAAACAACTAGTATACTTGCAGCAAACTCGATAGTAAAATCCGAGCTGGTCTGAGCTACTCTATTATTTTATATTTAAAAGACAATATACAATACTTSATAAAAAAACAAGTGGTAATACAAGATTACAAGTATTGTGTCCATTATATATATGAAGCAGCTTTGTTTTAAATATAACTGAAGATTAGGACTACTTTAAAGGTTATCAAAAAYGTACGTACCTTAATGTGAAGGTTCAGCCAGAAGCATCGTGGTTTCARTTTCTATCATATAGTTTTCCAGCTGAGTGTAGGCCACGGGCGGTCCAGTGTGGGGATCCTAGCAAAAGGAAGCACTTTATTAGCAATTACTTGAATCTGAATTCCCAAGGAATTTACATTCAGAGCACCATGMAGTTACCCCTGATGCTGTAACACAAGATTCCTTTTGGGAGCGATACCTTTCCTCTGGGAGGTAGCTCCCGCAGAAGGAAACACTTCTTTCTGAGACAAACTTGAAAGGGATGATTCAGAGGAATTCAGGGATGTTTAGAAGGAATTGCACAGTGCCCGTGTGCCTATTTCCCCTTCAGTGTGTAGTGCTTATACAGGTACTCATAGCTGAAATCATCTAGCCTGACTGATCACAACCACTTTCTCCTTTTTTTTTTTTTCTTTACCGCTCAATTTCTCCGCTTCTCTTGAATTAAGAACCTATGACATTAAGCAGCTTATTAAAAGAATTTCCTTGTCAAAATTGGTGTTCATGTTTCTGAAAAGATATTTACTATGTAAAGAAAAATATGTTACCTAYCTTTGCTGAAAAGTCCCCAAAACCCCATGTCTCATCAGTATGGCCTTGTTTCCACAGGTGCTCCCCTGACAAACTGCCTCAGGAGCACAACTAGAAACCAAAAGGCAGTTAGGCCCAATAACCTGAGGTGTTCAAAAGACTGAGCCCCACAGAGGTGTCTTGCAGGCAGATATTCCTTAGTTTTTCTTTTTCCTGCAAGACACTTCACAAGGTGTGCAGATTCCCTGCTTGGCACCAACTTTTGCTGCTTTCCCGCTACCAACATCAAGTGGATTCAAATGGATTTAAAAGATCACCAAAAGATAGACCTTTTTTTTTTTTGTGCTTGTCCTTGTACTTTCTTGATTCTGTTGAAGCCAAAAAGCTAAATGATGATTGTTTTCTGTAAGGAAATACAAGCTGTTGTTTACTTTTTATATTACAACATCCATCTTTCAAAAATAATTACAATTTAAAATAATCCACTGCTTAGATTTCAGGTAYTGAAAAACTATCAAGGTTAATATTTTGTAATTTGATTAGGTACACTGTCTTATTTGAACTGTTTATTTCCTAGGAACCCGATATTAGCGAAATATGTGAAAACATCACTAAAAAGGCAGATGAAAAGCTAGCGGAGATTGAACCAAACCCAGCTGGCCAACACTCTCACCACCACCGCCCGCACGGGCACCGGCACCGGCCCCACCACCACCACCACCACCACCACCGCGAGGGCAGCCCCCGAGCCGAGACCAACCAGCAGGGTCCCGGCGAGGGCCCAAGGCGCCGTCCTCGTCCTCCTCCTCACAGCGACAGGCAGCGCGGAGGCGCTGGCCACCACAGGCACCACCACGGGGGCAGCCAGGAGCAGGGGGAAGCTCTTCCTCAGGGAGAAGGTGCGGAATTTCTGGCGCAATATAAACAGCTATGACAAAAGGCAAAAAGCAGCTGTAAAAATCAGCTAACTTGAAACTGGGGGAAGGCATCAGATGTGACTTCTAGTAGTTGATGCTGACATTGCAGACACCTTTTGTTTGAAGAGTTAGGGAATTCTGTCACTTGACAGTGTCGYGGGGCACTTCCAAATTCTTGCAGGTGACACGGGCAGCTGCGAGCAGAGGACATCACTGAGTCCTGACAGTGACGTCTGCTCTCGGCTGCCTGACAGTCATCAGCAGCCACTGAAAATAGCGACACCTGACAGTGACAGGAGAAGGCAGGGAGCTGAGCCTGAGAAACGAACTAAACACGACAAAACGTTGCCTACATTCATGCAATTGGAACAAGGGAAACATTAACAGATTCAATTTTTACTGTCCCACACTTAGAAAAAAATTAAAGACAGGTGACAGGAATGTGGAGTTAGAAATGTCAATATTGAAAACTGGAATTTTACAGCAGTGCTCTTAGAACTACACCAAACCTGTCAAGTACCATCGATAAAAAAGTATTTTAAAGCAATTTAACTGACCCATAGTTTGTTTTTCAGTTGTAGATGAAAGGTGTCTGCATTCTTGACTAATTTGTCTTTCTTGTTTTTCTTCTAACATTCTGTTTGCGTTTGTGAAGACAGAAGCAGAAACTATGACCTAGGGGCTTCTGTGTGATGCTAGCAAACTAGAACAGAAGAGAACCAAAAAAGATATTTTAATCATACTTTATTAAAAGAAAGAACAGGGAATATATTCAAAAATGTTTTTTTCTATAACCTCTGGATTCAAATTGTGCACAATAAAAGCCTTTTACTGAACAACATTCCAAAACAGTTATCTTAAATTTAAGCAATAATTGCATTATTTTTAAATAACAGATTTATAAGTTTACCTTCTATTACTATGTATCTTTATATCAGGGTCCAATAATACACCAGCTGTAGCTTATAAAAATCTCACTAAACGAACAGGATTGTGCTTAACATGAGGCAGTGCTAACAGCTCTTGATAAAAACCAGTATTTGTACCAAAAAAAAAAAATGGAGTAGGGACCAAACTCAATTTTGATGTGATGTTTGTTTGTAACATTGCTGAATTTGATAATCTGTATCAATTCATAAATTTCAATTGTGTAACTTCTGTTTGTAACTTAGCAGTCTTTAACTTTTATTAACCAAGTTGAAGTGAAAATAAAATTGTTTGAAAGTGTTTTTGATATGTAAGAAAGAGAGAAAGAAACAAAGAAAGACAGAAAGAAAACCACTTTGAGAGCAAACACCATAATTAATGATGGTTTAATAGGGAAACTCACTCCTACAAAACCTGAAGCTTCTTATGGTGAATACTGACTAGTGAGAAAGTAATACTGAACAGAATGCATGTTTACGGAATACTTGATATGAGAGTTTTTCAATAAACATTTTTCTCAATATTTCTTTGTACTTTGCTTTCACTTTTGAAGTGCACAGTCTGAGACACTTTGTGCACAGTGAGAACCAGAAATAGGTATTTCAGCAGGAGGTATTCTCAAAACCGCTTCCGTTTGAAGTGCAGGTCCTGCCCTTTATTAAGACGTTGCTCCAAGTCCCTTATGGTGTTACGCAGAATTTCAATTTCCTTGTTTTTTTCCTCCTGGAGATGCTGCAGTTTCTGTAAAGATGCGAGTAAATGCTTCTTTAGTAAATGTCCTGTAGAATTACGTACTGATACAATACACTGTTGCTAACGAGAAATAACTCAAGGTATTTTCACRGTATTGCAAAGAGAACTTCCCCAGAATCCTCTCTCTGTAAGGACCCAAAGCAACTCTCAGCCTACCGAAACAACAGGGCACAAYTTAGATCCGTCACTGATATTAGCTGTATCTTAAGCCCCCAAGTTAGCAATTCTGTACGAGAGCGGGCTTTGGTTGCTGCTGGTGTCAAAGTTATTAGGCTGAACACTASCTATATGAAGAGCAGTGCAGAAAGGCATTAAGTTAGTTGTCCAGAGCTGGGAGGGAAGTGTTGGAAAAGGGAATGATACTGACCCTGTCAGCTATGGAACACATTTTTCCCCCTCCTAACTTCTGTTGCGGAGCAAATAAAACATAGTAAAAAAACAGGGTGTTTGAGASAGACTATAGCAATAGCCACAGGCTGTAGGCTGTTCAATCACATACCCTTCGATAGATACTTTGTGGCAGGACAGACGCATCTGGAAACGATTTTGCTGTTTTATTCTGAACTCTTGCTAATTTAGCATTRAACTGAAAGAATAAGGAAAACATAAATCATTAATAAACCAATAGGAAAAACAGTATGTTAAATAATCGAAGCATACTTTTCACATTTCATCCATRTTTTTGTACCTAGAAGTAGTAGTAGCAAGCTTACGTACTATTTAATCCTATGACGATGAAAGCAAGAAATTTTATTTAAAAAAAAAGGAATTAGATGTTATATTTTTTTTAAAAAAAGCAATGCTTGAAATTATTTCATGATATAAAATATTACAATGACAACTTATTACAGGCATTTCTGAAGTGTTAAATGAACAAAAAATTCTGCTAATCAATGCGGAAAGAACCCATCCCACGTTTGCAGAAAGAAAGCATTATCCTTCTTTCATGTTGAGGGCAACTCAGCCCAGGTAGTTTCACAACTTATTTCTTTTTTAATGTGAAAACATTTCCTTAATTTTCCATTTACTAGGAGAGTGGCCTTAAAACCTAAGCATGAAATACACACTGAATCCTGTGACTGTCAAAGCTCAGCAGGCCTGGAAGTCTATGTACACTCCTGAAGTTTTTAAGTGTATCTTCCAAGTATTAACAAAATGAAAATGTAGAATTTTTTTTTTTTTCATTTCATTATAGCTCAAAAACACTGACAAGCTTTCCAAAACTTTCAATATAATTTAGCTTAAGAATACAGCAAACTTCAGTGTCCTTATATAGCAGGTAAAACTTATTTCTGCACACAAGTCATTCAGATATAGTTGCCAAAGAGAGTACATGGCAATTTTATCTGTACAGATAAACTTTTAAATTTTCACAGGTTTAAATTATTAAGTACCATTTGCAACATTCTTCACTACACAAACTTCTAATTAGGTCTACTGGTGTCCAGTTATCTTTAACTCAGCTTCATAACACACACCTCTATCTGCAGTTTAATTATTTCATTCTGCTTCTCTTCATCTTGAGTTTTCAGCTGTCTGTTTAACTTCAGTATTTCCAGTTCTTTTTTCTCTATTTTTTCTTTATACTCCACTTCCATTAGTTCAACTAAAACCAGTAATAAGAAACATATGTTTAACATATTAAATTATAAATAAGATTAGATAGAAAATAACAAYAGCATTTACCAAAGACTGAGACTTTCTCAGCCTTTGAGTACTTCACAGGAAAACAATTTCAGTCAAACAAAAAACATGTTTTAAAAGTAATAAGTGACAGAGGCATCACAACTTACCATTTTCTTAATTTAGTGGATAACCAAAAAACTTCTCCTCTTGAAAGCTGTATTTACAAAAGTGCATGTTTACAAAAATGCATGAAGTCTTGTTCTTTTGAGCAAAGCTGTATGCCTGTAACAATCTATTTCACAGTCTCAGCCAGCACTTACCTCAAAATTTAATTCCTTCAGATTTTTCTTAGGCCCATGTTCTCAGTGTTTGTTCCACTTGTTTGGAAATTTCTGATCATCCTGTATCTCCATGCTATTACCTAACTGTAACTGTCTGCTCTTGAGCTAAGATTAAATTCAGTTAAACACTCTACCCACTTAGAGCTTTCACGTGTCTTTGTTTTACCAGTACTACATTTGTATTTTACACAGGAAATGTATGTTTCTGAACAACTCTGTTGTATTTATCCTAGAATAGGTTTCAGCACTGTTTACTCAGCTTCACAGCTATTAAGTCTTTGGAGAACTTACTTTGTTTTTTCATATCACAATTCAGTCTTGTTATTTGTACTTTGTGGTCTTCCTCTTTGTTTTTAATTTCCATCAAAAGCTTCTCAATCTGAAGTTTATATTCCTGTGAATATAAAATACTTCATAAAAAAATCTTCAGGTTCCTCTGCTTATTTAGAAAGTCTTCTGTAAACCACAACACTATGATCAAAATGCACAATCTCTCTATAATTCAGTACTTGTTTCTTCCTGGCCCTAGCAAATTTGGGATGTCCAGTTACTACTTTCACAACCTGACTGAAGCCCACAGACAAAAAAAGAAAAAGCAGCAGATACAAACTGTTGCAGCTCTTAGTATTGTTAAAATGCTATCCAAAGGAAAGAATTTTGAGCATAGCTATTCTAACTTTTGCTCTAATAGAAGTACAGTAGTAATTAATTAATGGCTGTAGTTGCCAGTGCTCAGGTGTCTCCAAGTCCTCTTGCTGTAGGCAAGTCACTGACCACAGCAATGTTAAGAGACGCTTCAACAGGCAACTTCTTTGCAGCATTCACTCCCAAGGAAACCACAGCCAAAACTCAGGGTGGTTCTTGTTTCTCTGGCATCTTGAACATGTAAAATACATTTGCCTTTTTGGACAAATGATTAGGTTCTAGCCTAGGAAGCTGAATTTAAAGCTAATACGACTACAAATAATTGTAACTTAGATGGAGTGACAGATCTCAGCATTTAGGAGAACTCATCTCTTYGTCTTTTCTTAGCACGTTCTCTATTGATACTGGTTTGACAGCAACTGTTCTCTTTGTACATATGATGAGTTCCAGGAAAAGTGCAACAATAACGTGATCAGTAGTGAAGAGTTTAAGAATACATAAACTGTAAAACAGGGTAAAAGACCTTATTCTTCTGCCCAAAGAATGACCATTCGTGACAAACCTGTTCACGAGCAGTTAATTTCTCTTCCAAAATTTGAATGTTATCTTTCAGTCTCTCATTTTCATCTATGTAATAATAAAACATAAATAGTATGAGACATTAAAAAGTAATTAGTAAAAAAAMCCCTTCCATTTGACTCTTCTAAACTTTCAGAAACTGTTAATATTTTGAAGATATGATAATCCTCATTTTCACAGCTATGTAACTTTTGTGACTACTTTTTAAAACAGAAAATGTACAGTTTAATCATTTTTGCCTAATATTAMTACTTGGATTGGTTTTTAGTCTTCTCATAATTGATCCAGTCAACAGAACTTAGATGCACAGTTCTCTGTCTCAGAAATTAAGAGATTATGACATCTATGGCACTTGCAAATAGAAGATAACCCTTTCTAAGTAGCCATTTCCCCAAAAATGAACTCAGTAAATGCATGCCTATGAAGCCTAATTATAGTTACAGTAAATATACCATTATTGATAAATATGCTATTAAGTGGAAAGCAGTGCTGTAAAGACAGAAATTAAAAAGAGTACACAATGTTTTTACTATTAAAAATCATTATAATTATTAAAAACAGCCACACATTCCCACAATTCCCAGTTTTACAGGTTTCTTAACATTTATGCTAATGTGCCTTGAACACATAATGGGTTTAAAATTGTGTATATGATATAACTGGACTGTGATACAAAGATATTTTGCTTCATGTTATGTACAAAAATGTAATACATGTTTTTATATTCTACATATTATATATAAAATATTTATATATATTTATTGTAATAGTCATGAAGCTTTCTCAAGTATTTGTGGCTAATAAGTAAATTTTAGAACACCAGTAGAGGATTTGAACTCTTGATTTAATAAAACACTTAAATATGTAAAAACTGTGTGTAAGCACTTTACTAGACCACAGCCCAAAGAACAAATACTGCTCTCTCACTTTTCATAAGATTTCCTGTGCAACACTGAACTAAAATTGAAACCCAACTATTGATTAAAAATCTCACTGAGCTAAAACTTCTGCTTTTTTTCCTAGCGGATTCAAATAACAATTGCAACAGACATTTACTAAGCACACAGACTACTAAAAATGCATAGGATTGATTTTAAATATGATTTGTTTYCTTTCTGATGGGCTGCTGCTGAGTTTTCCTCTCTGAAAAGCATTAAATATAAGTTAAACTTTTAAATGCCTGCTCCTTTTATATTACAGTACTAAGCAGGTAAGATTTTTGCTCTTACCTTTCACATTACATTGGTTTTCAACTGTTTGTGTTAGACCATTTATCACATTCTGCAGAGCACTACATTCTGAAATAAATGACAAATCCAGTAGTTTTGAATAATTTCTTCACTATTCTCATTTTAGAATTGATTACAACTATCAGAAACAAATAATAAACATACTTTAAAAAAAACTGTAATAAAAATGTAAGAGAATAACTTTTTGTAATAGAAAGTTAAATACCCATTTTCTTGGGAACCAAGAATAYTCAATATTTTGTATAGCAAAAAAACCTACTTTGCCAATTGTAGCAATAACTGAAAATCTTTTCTCAAGAATCACCACACAGTTATGACTAGCAATCTCTACATAACAAATTTGACAGCCAAGAAGATTACTTAAGACACCAGTCCCAAAATGACATTTTCCAATCGTTTTTTAAAAATCTTTAATTTGTTCTCCCATCAAGCCTGCTTCCCATGCCCCAGCAGTATCAGCCTGCTACATTCCCTGTTYCATGCTTGCAAAGAAGCAGCAGAGGGAGCACTGGCAACACAGAAACACAACCTGCCCTCAGCTTCTGCTCTGTAGCTGCGCTCCAAAGCTGAGGCTCCAAGTTAGCACGCCCAGTATTCGGAGAAAGCTAATTACACAGAGGTAAATCTTAACTTACAAAAGAGAGAATTCTGGGGACTGAAAATCTGGGGAAATAGGAAAGGTTTTCCATGGAAAAAAAAAAAAAAAAAAAAAAAAAAAAAAAAAAAAACAGAAAAGACAGCCTTTACCCAAAGAAAACGTCTAAACATATTATGTCTCTGCTCTAAAGTAGAGAGAAGCAAGAGCTACACAGAAAAGTTGTTTAAGATGTCCCATTAAAATATTTTTTCATGATTTTTTTTTCTACTCTGCTTTGGGAAAAAAAAACCCTAATGTTTGTGTTAGAAGTGTTAACTACATGCACTCAGTCTGAGACAGATACCTCGTATAGAAATTTGCACTGTAGACAGTTTCATGGAGATATAATCAACTGAAAATCTGTTAATCTTCATTACAGGCAGCAGTAGCAGCTCTCCATGTAATTTAAAGAACTTAATGGCTTATCCTATTAAGCCACCAAAGGAGGATTCTTCCTTATTTTCACCTTTACTAACAACCACAATGCATTCAACAGTGCCTTCTGAAGATGTGAAGGCATGTGGGTGCCTTACAGATTTCTCCTCCTGTAGGTTTATTTGGGCCAGAAGAAGTTTTCACATTCCCATTTATAGTTAGCAGCTAAACCAAGACTGCTTTCTTAAAATGCAACTCTTCCATTTACAGGATTTGTGCTGACGAGCTCTTACAAATGTTCTATCCTTCCATTACACACAGATATCAATTCAAACGCTTGATATTTATGCAGAAATTGAAAAAAAACGCATCTGGGCAAACATGGAAATGGTAGCTAGTCTTGCTCTGAACCACAATGATTTTAAGTGCAAGCCACGAGATAAAACAGTCCCAAGAATATCTTTTTTTTTTTTTTTAATTTTCTTTAAAGGAGTTATCTTGACAAAATTCCTTACGTTATTGCAGTTGTGTAACTGTACAATTTACTGGGAACCCCCAGGGAGTTTTGATCATCTGCATTAAGAAAAATTCCACCAAATTGCTGCAGCTCTGCTAGATCATGTTGCATTAGCATCCGTAGGAATTCTTYGTGCTTCCTCCCCTGTAAGGAATATTCCCTATATGCAGAAGGACTGAACAGGCTAATTGATCTTTTTTCCACGTTTAACRTTTATAACTTCTTGCCATTTCTTCTATCTACATTTACACTTCAAGCTATTAGCTTTTTTAACAGGGCAAATTATATCAACCTTTTGGTGTGCTATTAAGACTTACACTCTAAAACAAGAGTCCCTAAGGATAACGTCACCAGAAAAAGAACGGAAGCATCAATACTGTATTTGATTCATACATTTATGGTCCTGAAGTTCTAATTCCCATCAAGGAATAAAAGTGCTTCTAACCYAGAGGGCCTTGAATTTAAAAAAACAAAACAAAACAAAAAACACACAACACAAAGCAGGAATCAAATTACTTGGCACTAGTGTTTTGATTCTGCAGATATAGTATATTACAACAATGCAGTAGATTTAACAAAACTATCTTATGAAGGTCAGACGTAGGTGAATTTGATGAAGGTGTGAAGAATCTCACCCAATCTATCTAAATACTCTCTATTTCTATTTCCTTAGTATCTCTCATTTACCTACTACTTCCTTCTCACTAGGTGGCTTTCAAAATCACTTGCTGGATACTCCATGCTGTTCTAAGTACTGCTATTAACAGCTCTGGGTTCGCTCTTACTTCTTGGACCAAAATCCTTCCTTGCCCACAGTTCTGCTTCTTGCTATACACAATCTTAATAATTTGTACAACTATTATGACTTTAAATATGACTGACATCTCCTAACTAAACCCTGCTGCTTAAACTCTGGTTCCTATTTCATGCTGATTGCTCTGGTATTTCTATTTGGCCCTCTGCCTTGACATTTTTTCCCCCATCATGTGCTTCAAAACAGCTCCAGAGGTCATTCTCCTCAATTATGATATCAACATAACTATCTCCTTAAATCATTTTGCTCTTATCTCATCAAACTGAGGCACTACTTTCCATTTACAAAGCCCAAATCTGCCATCTGACCTCCATCTGTTTTCAGTCCACTCTGCTTCCACACTGCTTTCTGCAATCCTCCCAGCTGGTCTGACTTCCTGCCTTCTCTCTTTCACTTTGACTGCTCTACGTCCTTTTCCCCTCATTTGTTTTATGACAGAAGTAATTTCTTTTTTGTCCAGTTTTTCTTTTTCCTCTTCAAAATTTATTTTATACAAAAAGTCCTCTTCTTGTTTGCATTATAGAAGAAAAAATATGATGCTGCTTCTGAATAACTTTCATATCTGACTGAGAAACAAATGWTTCTCATGGGTCAGTCCAGATTTCCATTCAGTTCACTACTCCATTTCATTATATCCACAGGCAGATACTTCAGGAAGAAAAAAAACAAACGAACAAAAAAACACTCTGAACAATTATTACCCTTTAAACTTCCCTTCGGCTTCCAGTAAGTTTTATTCCATTTACGTGTCTCATCATTTTGGACCCACTTGTACTTTTGATATCCACAAACTCCTGTGGCAATTGATTCAATTCAAGAAGCTCATTTTATGATATTTGGAAAAAAAATCTCCTTTTATTTCCTTTATAGAAGGTTAACCATCAGCAAATTTGCKCTCTCTCTCTCTCTCTCTMTMTMTMTATATATATTTTATTTCAATGAACAGTGAATAATCATTCTTAGTCACTTTACACCATTCAGGATTTTACAGTAATATCCCAACTGCTGCGTCTTTTCAGACTGAAATATCAGTCAGTCCAAGTCCTTCCCTCGGATGATCCATAATTGTTACATGACAGGGTACCAAGTGCTTCCTCGTGCACCCCCTTCCTGARGATTTAGCTGCCTGGGCCCAAGGCCAGCTTACAAAGAGTGCTGCTGGGGACATGCAAGTAAGTGRTTTGAACAACGCCGGAAGATGACTGGGCAATGGCTAGGGCCCCCCTTAACTGCTTTTAAGCTAAGCTTCTCACCCTTGGCCCAGTCTGAGCTCTGCTGCAGCTGTGTTGAAGCCACGTCTTGTGCCTAGACACATACCCTGTTGATCCAGGTTCTGACTACGACCTATGGACTGACTTCCTGGCTTCATTTCAGACCTGCCTCATCACTGTTTGTGTGCTGGATGATCACTGGACCATGTCTGACCCTGTTACTCTTTCTACACCTCATTATGATCCTAGCCCACCTTCCCCTGTCACTACAGATTTGGTCAGTAAGGCTAACCCTCATCACCATTCCTGGGGCTGCCTCCATTGGGTGGAAAGACACATTTACGTGTCTGTCCTGGCTCTGGTATGTCCTTTCTGAAATGCAGGAAAGGAAAAGTATTACATAGAAAAAGAGCCCACATATTCCTACAGAGACATAATATTTGTTTTCCTTTTTACCACTGTTATTTTTTGAGAATTACTCACAATGACACAAAGATCTCTTTCCTAGGTAGAAGTTGCCATTTAGAAACTGCTGCTGTTCATATACAATGTCTCCTATACGCTTTCAGCTGAAATTCAGCTTCCCTTTTCATCACTGTCATTCTGCATCATGACATTCTTAGTACAACTGAATACATTAGTAACGCCAGCAAACTTGTACTCCCTTTTTCAGTAACCTATCCAGTTCTTTTCTGAGTACATTAAGTAATTTACGTCTCAGCAAAGATGTAAGTGAAAGTCATTGGCAACTTTACTCCTTTGTGAAACTTTTTTCTTAACTTTAGCAGTTTTACTTGTCTGAGATTGAGATTTTTTAAGAAGATACACTTTCAGTGGCCTTATGAACTACTCAGGAATACGAATCCATAAAACTATATATAGTTATATCTATACATACATGCTATATATGTGTGTTTATATATATAGTGCCAGCTACTATTCCCATACTTTTTAAAGCCATCTGAAAAGATATATCCTGAACAGAAATATTAAAAAAAAACCCTGCATGTTTACATTCATATTTTCACTTGAATTCCTAATTTATAGGACAACTTCTTTATTACAAAATAAAGGCTTGAAGTTCCCCAATTATTAAATGCAATTTCATTACTTAACTTACTACATTACATAACTTACATTTACTTACATTACTTAATATTTCATTACTTAACTGCTATTAAACAGTTTACTCTTAACATTTTAGATAAACTATCAGCATCATCCATAACTTCTTAGCATCAAGTGATATCCATTATGCAAAGTAAAAGAAATAGGAACAAAACTCTGTTCCTATTAAAGCTAACAGCAAGAGAAATACATCATATGGAACAAACTTAGGACAATAATCAGTATCAGTGTAACTGAGCTGAAGCTTGAAGGAATTACGTGTGATTGCTAATGCTTTATAACTGAGCTGGAAATAACACTCAGATTAAACAATGTGACAGCCTGCTTGACTTCTTACTATGATCAAGATTTTATCTGATCTCTTAGCATCACTGCAGATTAAATCTTACACAGATATAAAGTCTGATTATTTTAGATAGACTAAATATTTTCGGTCATCAAGAAGCTGAAGATTGCTCAGGCAGAAYACAAGATTTGGTATTTTACCAATATCCAAAGTCCAGGACAATGGCATGGAATTAATTTAGGTTAGATTGTTTCACTGACCAACACTGAAAGAGAAATACTAGAACTGCAATATACCTGTCAGCATGGTAYAGGGACAAACATGCATTCCCAACCCCAAACTGGGCTATCAAATTGACCTTATGCAAACAAAATGACACCATCTGCTAGAGAGAACTTTCTTTTTTTAACGCCATCTCAGAGCGCCAATCCCAGCAGCCTGACACTCAATTACAGGCACACTTTGATGTTTTGGAACCACGACATTTTTGAATTTCCACGCTTTCATAAGACAGCAAAAAAAAAAGCATCCAAGAATGTACCTGCCTCCCTTTTATTTTTCAGTGGGGAAAACATTTTTGGCAACCATTTGAAAACATCAGATTTTGTCATATTAACAACCAGCTCATCTTGGGATGTGATGATGTCACGAGCAACCTTATAGTTACCAAATGTTGACTCTATTATTCTATACAGACATTCAAGTTGCCTGTGAATGTTAACAAGTTAAAGGCTTGCCTCTTAAGCTAAAATACAAGCTTGCCTAAAACAATTCTCATCRTAACCTGTGAACGTTCACTCAATGCTTAAGATATCTGTACAGATGAGAAGAGTGTTCTTTTGGGAAATGYAACATCATTAGGTGTCTGAAAATTAGCTGATCCTTTTCTTTTTTGACTGGAAAATAAATATTTTAATCTTGCTCTCAGAATTTATTTGTGGATTTATGTTTTATGTAAATGCATCCCACTGCACTATCAAAAATTAAGCAGAATTCGATTTCAAAGTGATTTAGATCCTTGCTATTTTATTTTTGTATTTCATATTACCAAAGATAAAGAATTTTCCAGAACTTCCTAAATACAAAAACAACAAAAAATGGTTTTCAAAATATTTACCTTCTTTTGCTGACTCTTCTTTAGAAAGGCTTAATTTTACCAACATACTAGATTTTTCCAGCTGAAGAATAAGTAGGTTATTTGCTTCAGTAATTTCTGATATTTTCTAGAAAATTGATGAGACTAAAGTTATACTGAGTTTTTTTTAAATACAAGTTTAAAATCTTCAGTTTTCAATTGATAGAAACATTTACACAATACTACCATTCTAAGTCTATTTTACTTGACAATCTGGGAATTACAAAGAACAACGTTAGACTGAAAGCTATACATAACATTTACCATCCACAATGTACAATATCAACTTACATCACTACCTACAAATTCCAGGAATTTTTGACAAGCATAATTCCGGTCTTCCCCTTGCAAAATTAAATATACTAAATATACTAAAAGAAGGGCATAAAGTAGAAGATATCTCTGCAAAACTGCTTAATAACCTTAATTTAATTGCTTCCTCTGCATTCTAAAATTCATAGTATAGCTCAAACCTCAGCAACTTTCTTTGTGTTGGGTTGCATGAGAGATTAACTCCCTCACTGAGCACTGTGTAATGTGCATGGGGCATTAACTTCTTCCATGAGAATCACAAAATTTATTTCACATGCCCTTCTGTATTATCTCTGGTGGTAATTCACTGATCAGGATCAATCACTAGAGGGCTAGCAAAAATGGGTCTAATCAAACAAAAAATACTGTACTGATTTGGATCCATCCTTAAAGAACTGACAGATAAAAATAAATGGAGCTCCATGCATACTTGGTTTCTGCATTTGGTTCTGGACAAAAAAAAAAAAAAAAAGAATCTGTTTGCATGTTTACGCATTGTAGATGTCTATAAATGTGATTTCACATTCACAAGTTCTGGTATCTCAGCACTACCCCTTCTGAATTGAGCTACTCCTGGCTTCTTTCAATAATTCGGTAATAGAAAGTGCCTAAAGATAAAACATCTTTGTCTATTTATGGACATATTAGTCTGAATCTTACCATGCTGAAGAGGCACACACAGAGTAAGCTTTCATTAGGAAAAACAAAATAAATGCATTTTTTTTTTCCTGCAGAGAGAAGGCATTTCAATGGTTTGTATTTAAAATGCTAGTTATCTGGGATCTCTTGACATTCYGATGAAAAATGATCCAGGATCCTCCTTCACACTAATACCAAATGTACAACAGTATGACTTTCACTTGCTATTTCACAAATCAACAATAAAAAGCAAGTATATTTGGATAATCACTTATCTTAAATCATTCTGAGCACTACTGGGAAGTACAGACACTTTCCAAAAAAAAAAAAAAAAAAAAAAAGCATTACAAGACAAAGTATAAACTTAGACCATTTAGAAGAAACTTTCACCTCAAAAGCATATTAAAACATGTATTTAAAAGAAGTAATTTCAATGGCTTTTTTTAAATCTTCTTTACTTACTTTTTCTATCACTGAGAAGTCGTCTAGAAGTTTACTGAGATTGACCAAACTGATATTCTTCATAGTTTCTTCACAGCTATGATTCACTTATTCSTGGAACACTTCACCTGATGTTCATTGTATACATAGGAAAAAAAAAAAAATCCAGTAATTTTTATCTTCCTCATTCACACTACTTTGAAAGCATTCCATAGAGTGCAAATATTAGCAGAATACAGAACACCTTTTTCAAATTTAGAACTATTTTTGCACACTAAACTACATTTCAATCAATCTCTTCAGCCTCTCTAATAAACATCAGTAAGCTCAAGCCAAACTTATCAWTTTTTTGTAATGTTTGTGTTTCAACAGACAACTATTCATTCTCCTCTGTGTATATAAGAAGAAKAATTTTTGATAAATTTGGTAACTTGAAAAAAAGTTAATGAAGATAATGAGACTTCATGAGGACTAGAGTCCACGTTAATGTATAGCTTTAACCATGTACATGTTGAGATACTTACCTGCTACTCAAGCCTTAACTCCTTACATGTGCTCTTTGAAGATACATTTTTTGTCATTTAGTATTTACAAATCTTTATATCTATGTAATTTAATTAGCAGAGCAGTAGATAAAGATAGTTCTCTGCATTTAATGCACAACTGTATCTTGTATTTAGACGTCAAAGGGACTAACGGAATAGCTAAATTATTTCTTTGCCAACAACTTTTAAGAATATATATAACATTGACCTTTCTTCGTAGATTAGTTTCTTTCACTGCAATTTAGATAAGTAATTTCAATAATCTGTTATTACAGTGCAATAATTGTTACAAYGGATTTTGAGATATATATTTATGACATTAATTTTGCAATGCAATTACACATCTTAATATGCTATTGGTTACTGATCAGTATGACTGCCAAGTCCTGATCTTTTGAGCCTTTATCATGGACAGTATCTTTTCCATTTGCCTATCAGCCTTTTCACCAGGATTTCACAATTGCTTCTTTGTTATTAGAACTTATTTATATTTCATCCTCTCAATTCTGACCGAGGGTGGAAGCTGAGGGAGTTGTCATGTTGCACACTGTTTTGCTCATGTGTTTGCCCACAATTTGCTTGTGTATTTGCCCAGCATCATTTGTTCTTTCACAGGACAGGATGTGCTCTGCACTTGGCAGCAGTAGCTAATAGTACCGCAGGGAATAACGCTCTTGTTGAACTAAAAAAGTAAACTGAGAATAATATGTTGTATTACTAAGATGTTTTTCCAGCAAGAAAACTCATACAAAAAAAAATTTTAGCATATAAAATCTAATATACAAAAAAAAGTTTTTATTAGATTTTATATGCTACATCTTCCAAAGACATTTTTGTTAAGACTTCCACTCCTGTTTTCAACAATATTCATTTAACTAAAGGGAAAAAAAAAATCTAACATGCGTTTCCAACTACCATAAAAACTTTACTGAATTTTTCCATACCCCCTCCCCCAAGAATGATTCTCTCAGTACTCTTAATTGTAGTTGATGATTTCATTTTGGAAAATATGCAAATACTAAGAGTGAAACACCTATTAAAAATAAAACAAAAATTTCTCTTAGATTATTAACGACATATCTCAATTGCATATTCATCATTCAGCTATGGGAGCTTTAAATAGTCTCACCCTTTTCCAACCTTCTAAAGATAGGCAACTAATATTTGCATGAAGCCTATACTCACTTTTACCACTCAGTCTCTCAAGATGCTTGATATTGATGATATTGCTGATAGATAGATATTGCTGAAGATGCTGATATTGAAAAATATAGTTTGCAGGTGAACACCGCGAGCACCCAGGCTGCACTCCAGTGAAAGCCATCGCCTCCCCTTACCCTACAGGGGAATCACGATGCCGCCACGGCAGCAAACCCGACCAATACCACCCCGCGCCATACAACTCCCTCCTTCCCTCCTTTCCGCAGGGACAGTACGTGCAGACATACCCGAGAGGGCAACGAGAGCCTCTCGGACACCCGCAGCGCCGCCTCTGGCAGAGCCACAATGGAGACAAGATGGCGGCGGAAGCGGCACCCCGTGCTGCCCGAAGGCGGGAAAACAGCGCCGCCGCGGGCCGTACCAAGAGCGGCCCCGCGGGGGGTCCCCGCACCCCCCCGCGAGGCGCCGCTTTGGACTGGCCCGCAGCCGCGTGCCGCGCGGGGTGTGAGGCGCCCCGGGACGGCGCCGTTATGGGGGACAGCGACCCTCTGCGGGAACTGGGGACACTGGTGGGCTGGGCCGTGCACCCCCTTGCAGCCCTGGCATAGATCAGGTGCCTCATCAGCTCCTTTACTCAAAAGCAAGCAAACAAACAAACAACTCCTCAGAGGAGCATCCTGGATGTCCTGATTTCACTGAAATGTTCAAACTGTGATTTATTTTAGCAAATGGTTTCCCATGTTGACAATACCTTGAGCAGAGGGAGGAAAGTGACGTGTGGATGCTCCTTTGAAGAGCAGTGAATAGACTCGGGATGGGAGCGCTTCTGTGACAGGACGGATTGATTCCTGCTCCGATTCTCAGCATTTATATCTTCTGGTAGCTATGGTTATCGAGCAGGGACACTTCTCCCTGTCTATCCCTCCTTTTTCTGAGGGAAATTATCCCAAAGAGCTTTTGAGGAAAGTTTCTGAGCTACCCGTGCCAGTGTGGGAGCCCACTGCAAGGCTGGAGGATAATAAACCTGGATTTCTTAGGAAAATCAAGGCCTCATTTCCTCCATAGGGAGGTTGCTATTTTGGGGCAAAATGCCTAGATACTGCCACTGTGCTCGTCACTGGAGAGGCTGCAGCTCCGTTGGGTAGACTGGGCAGCTGGTGGCTCTGCTTAAATATGAAAAGGAACAAGTTCCTCCATTAATGGTTCTGTTACTGAAATTCAGTGGCAAATCCAGTTAGTATTCCCCTGGCCTGACATCTTTTATATCTTGCCAGAGTTTGTTAAAAGTAGACACAGAGGACTGGGAGGGATGTGTTGCATCACTGAATAAAATCTCTGCGAAATCGTAGGCAACCAAGTGAAAACAAATTTAGCTTCCCTCTCCCAGCTTCTTGCCACTTTAATATACATAGATTGCTTCTTTTCCAAGCATTGAGCCCATGACCAAGACATGTTTACCTGGAATAAGAGAGTCTTGCTAGGAGTCCCTGCATATGCAGCTTAAAACCCCGCAGTACCGTGGAAACAAAATATCCTGGGGCAGGGGGAGCTTTTCTGCATTCACAGCAGTTAAATGTAACTGCAGGAAGCTACCCATCAGCTAGCTAAATATTTTAACATTTAAATGCCCATCATTAGCTTTCCAGGTCAGTAGCGCAGGGTGAGTAAGAGAATCACAGAATAATTTAGATCAGAGGGGACCTGTGGAGGTCACCCAGTTCAAAGCTGTTCTCCAGGCAGTGTTCAGAGCTCATTTGGGCTTTTCCTGGCCTTGTCAATCTGAGTTTAGAGCATCTCCAAGGAGGAGATTGTTTGGTGACATAATCTGAAAAGGAATTGTTTTAGGTTAGGACTTGAACATCGAAAATATTGTTCATTGCTTCATGAATGTACATTTTTCAGGAAGAGACTAGTATTAGATTCCTAGAGCTACATTTGCACGCTAGAAAAAAAAGAGTCCTTGCTCTCAGAAACGCTAAAATATGCTGTAGCCTTTCCAGGAGGAGAGCACTAGAGGACACAGCGTTGAATGCAGATTGCAGGCCAAGAGCACACAGGACGTTGTCTGAACATGTCCGGAGAAGCAACAGCCTACTGGGCAGTCACAACAACAGTTGTTTGCAAGTAACTGTATGATTAGAAGGTCAGAGGCCTGTTGTCCACTGGGATAGAAACATGGCCAAAGTAATTAAAGTAACTTTTTTTTTTTTTTTTTTTTTTTTTTTTTTAGGGGATTTACAGTTGAGATGCAAGTGGGAAAAGGAGGTCACCACTGCACCACTAGACCTGGCAATCTGGCCATGTCCAGCACAAGGAAGGAAAGATCCTCCAGCCAACTCACTGAAAGCTCTTGGTGGTTTCTAGCCCACCTGTCCTCATTCCCCGGCCAGGTTTACATCTTACAACCTTCTAGCTGTCCTCCAAAACTTCACCACCCCTAAAACCATGCTTTAAAGATTTTTATCTTTAAAGTAATTTTAAAAAATATGCAACTCTAATAAGATTATTTGTGAGCAAGACTAGATCAGTGCTTCAGTTAGACATCACAGTAATGAGTGCTCTTCTTAGGCCTGTAAAAAGGTGTACAATCACTCGTGATTTTTATAAAGATTAAGCAAACAAAAAAAAAAAAAAAAAAAAAACCCAAAGTGAGTACTGAGGAGTTTAAAGCACAGGAAACCACAGTAAAACCACTTTGGTGTTCCTGCATTTCCCCATTCTCTCTCTAAGCCCAGTAATATGAGAGGAATGTAGCATCTGCAGTTAAAATAGCAACAGTGATAACATTTACTAGAATTAAGGCAAAATTCAACTGAATTTACAAAATGATTCTTTTCCTATTATTTGGGTGAGCACAAGGGATGATATGCACAGGTTTCATCCTGTTTTAGACTGTTAAGGTCAGGCTTATCACAGTAGTAGCTACTGTGTTGGACTGCAGAGTAGTTTAATAAAATAGAGTCAAAAATGATGCTGTGGTGAATCTTGGGCGTCAGCATCATTTCTGCTGTTGTTTTAGTCCTATTGATAGGGGAGTTTTGTTATAGTTTAGGAAATGAAAGGTGACAATATAGATTTTGGTGCAGAAGCTTCTGTTGTCCTCTCTAAAACTATCTAGTTTGTCCAAAAAAAACCCCAACCAAATAAACAAACATATCAATATATACACTTATATGATTATTAATATACATATTATTATACATAAGGCACCTTATGCTTATACTTAGATCCATCAATCAACACAAAAGGTCACTTAGTTTCAACACGTGCTTGAGTTGTTTTGTTCATAAACAGAAAAATAAGGATTTGGTTTTTTCTGCACAACATTTTTTCCTCCCTACTTGGGTCTTCTTGCCAGGCAAAAGATGATCTAATCCTTTCTTTATAGCTGCAGTATTGAATAAATAATAGTATTTTTAAAGTTTTACAATATCTGTCAAAATCCCAGCCTCATTAATTGTAACAGGACAGTGATAGGCAATAAAGTACTGAGATTCCACATTCTTGTAAAAGAAAAGGAATGTAAACAGTAAATAAAACAGAAATGAAACCTACTACAGTGTGTATTGTTCTGTGCCTCTGTGATAAATTTGATTTTGTAGCCTCCAGAAAGGGTTATCAGGGTCAAATGTAAAATCGTAGAGCCTCTTGTGTTAGCTGCACCGCATATGTGACTTAAAATGGCCTTGGTCTGCCATGGAAAGAGCGTTGTAAGTGATTGGATGAACTGGATGAAAAATAACTATAACTCGCTGTATCATGTTGTCTGCAAGACTTTGTCTGGAAAAGCTTGTGCTTCTCTGCAACTATTTGGCCATATGGTGTGGAAGGTAACAGCATGGTCTAGCACTTTGCTCATAGTACGTGCTGTTTCCAAGGGCAAAAAGAAAGCCCCTCATATTTAACTGATTACAGTTAACTGATTACAGACCTTTATGATCATTTAGTGCCAGAATAATGTTTTTTTTTTCTTTTAGAAGTCTCAGCCACCACCCAAGTGGCAGTGAAAACATTAATTTGTAGCACAGCTTATTTGTTTTTTGTCTGTCACGAGTGCTTATTTATGTTGACTCAATTTAGATCAAATTCTGCTGCGTGTACGCATGCACACATATATGCTGGGGCCCAAGGAGAAAGCCTGTACCTGGATTTAATCATTGCAATGCCACATTGGCAAATTTTAATCTGTTCTACAAGCAAGAAAGGGTCTATCCACACACAGGTTCAGATATCCTTATGCCTYGAGTGTAACTTCAATGTCTTCAGGTATTTTTCATTAAAGTGTGTCAGTATAATTCACTTTGTGCCAGATTTTGGGACAACCTAATTGTGCAAGAATAGATTGGTGATTTTGAACATGAGCAGGTACCGGATAGATACCAGAGCCCGTTTAAGGAGGATATGACAGAGAAGATGGATGAATACTAGGGATGAAGAGCAGGAAGGAAAGGTGTCTGAACGTGAGCGAGATGTCCAGACTGCCATTACGGTGTGAAGAGCCAAGGATACTGACCAGTTCAGCCCATCTAAAGGAGACGTGTGTATACCTCGTCAGCTAAACAGCTCGTTAGGCTCCACTACCTCACTGGTAACTTAGACCTACCTGATACAAATAGCTCTATATCCCTGGAGCTGTATCCTTCCCAAGGGATTAATTCASTTAGTAAAACATGGACCTCTGGTGTGACTGAGGCTGAGGTATCTACTAGAGACTTGTGCTGTTCTGGAYTCGTAGCAGGAGGCCAGACTGCAAACCCTACATGATACTGGGCCCTACGTGACATTGGGCTTCCATATGTAGGCAACTGAATCATACCCTGATTCCCTTGGTGGGGAAGTGTCTCCCCATACATCTATATGGTTGGATTCTTTCAACAGCTACACTGATTTCAGTCAATAGAAAAGATGGGYCTGGTGCACTACTGAGCACCACTGAGAGGAGATGTTCAAGGTACTACATTTTTCACACACAGGCTCTTTTTCAGAGTTCATATATGCCTAGGACAGACACCCTTGAACGATGGCTTTAAGCAACTCATGAACTTTGTCAGAATTTCTCATTTGTGGATCCTGCTGTAGGTGCAAATCTGGGGCTAGTGCAGTTTGCTTGTTTGCAGCCACAGGCTGTTCCCACAAAAGGTAAACTGGGCTGCTAAATCAGTRCCACATGTCTCGGGCAGTGCTGGGTACAGCATGTCCTATCTCCGCCTGTAAATTTAGGCCTGTGCTTCTATTCTTAGCTATATACATCTCAATCAGTGAAAATATGGATTCTATTTGGCTTTGTTTCTATACAGAGCAGGCTGCCATCTACTTTATTCAATGACAAATACTTGGTTTCTCTTGATAAAATCTCTATACACTCCATAAAAATTTAATTATCTGCAATAAAACACATTGTGCCGGGACAGATCAAAGACAATACATTTATTAAACTTTGAGAAAAACAAACAAAACACTGACGTCAGGAAAGTTAAATAGAAACTGAAAGACATAAATCTTCTGACCAGCATTTAATGGCTTGTGTGACCAGTAAAGTACCAAAATGACATTCTGAGTTTGATTGAGGTATTTTATCTCTTTTTGGCAATAGAAACAGAGTAAGAAATTTCTTCCAAACACACACATAGGCATTAATTGTATTAGTGTCTATCTCCTATGAAATTTTATATGAAAGTAAATAATGTAGCAGTTAGAAAAATATAGCAGCAAATTAGCAGAATACCTAATGCACATTTACCATGAAGTCTGTGCTAACCTTAAAAATCCCTCCCAGTAGTTGGGCCCGGTCCTGTAGCCCTTGGTCACCAGCAGAGCTTCAGTGGATTCACTGGGAGGCATCACGAGGGAGAGCCATATTCGCTGCCCTTCACAAATTTCTATTCGGGGAAGAGAAAGGAAATGAAGATGCCTATTTGCTTTCTAAGTAGTGCTTCTGCTACGATGGTACTATGGCCTGCTAGGGTAACTTCTGAAGCAATAACTGCTCATTGCAAAGCTCTGGAAAGTTCCTAATATACTTAAGAACAAGAAGCTTCCCCACTGCGTTTTGTTTTTCTCTGCTTTCCTCCTGAAAACCTGCCTAACAAAGTCAGAGGAGATGCTGCTAGGCCACAAAAAAGAGAGCAACGCTTTGGATCAACACTGTTTGATTCTCTTGATCCAGTGAAGTCATTAAACCCAGTATAGCTTCAAAAATGAACTGCTGGCCAAATCCTGAAGTCCTTATCTCTTTAATCAATACTTTATGTGGCACAAACTAATGACTGTAGTGATAGCTTTGGCTCTAAGAGGGCTTCAGAACTTGGTCAAATGTGAAAAGATTATGCTGCTAAATCACTAGAGCTTATTCATGTGTGTTTCAAAATGGTTCAATGAAAGTGTAGCTCTACASTGTTACATCCTGTGGTCAACAAAAACTTGCTCATAAAAAAGTATATTATTAGTATTAACCAGGATCGGATGGAGCAGAAAATATAATTTGCCCAAATATTCTGTGTATTTTCAAGTTTTCTACAAAACTTTGAATTTATTGTCTATTTCTATATTACTGTAAGAAAGTAATAGGATCAGTTACTTTAAGTTCCTACAATATTTCAAAACTTCTCTATAGGTTTCTTTGGAGGTAWAAAATGGCTCTGTAAAAAATCTTTTTTTTTTTCTTTTTGCTCCAAATAAAACTTTTATAAAGCAGAAAATACTTTTCTAATATTGCAGCAATTACATTGCTTAGATGGGGTCATCATAATTAAACTACAGTGTGTAGTGTAATATAAAACATTTATGCTTTTATGACTAAAATATTAAAATATATTCTATTAATTTATATAAATCAAAATAAATGTGTTCTTTATTCGAACTACTTTTGTTTTTTTTTCACCTATATGTTCAGTTTCCAATTACTGATATAAAGATCTTTGCCAACAGCGTGATTTTTATTAAACTCTTAGACTTTAAACCACCTGATTTTTTTAGCTTTATCAAAAAGCATGATTTACTGTACATTAAACATAGTTATTTCAATGCTTAGTATCACAAAAATCAACACCCACAATAACAAGACAGTCACTGCTAGTAAAACAGCCTCAAGACAAATTCATAGATAATATTTACAGAACACAACAGGAATATTTTGATGAATATTTTATGTCTCAACATTTCAGATAAAATTATAACAACCACAAGAAAACTTCTAAACTTCATTTTGGTTTCAGCATACAAGCCCAAGCTGACTCTCTGCCGTGAAATACTGCGTACACCTCRTCGGAGAAGAGCTATGGCATGATTTTGTTCAGTTGGTCTGTGCTCACGTAGCCACAAGACACGTTAAATTCCTTGTCTGGCACAGGCAGCGCCGTTGCGTTGAGCACAAGGCCTTGCGGAGAGTGAACTATATGAATAGAAGTATAGTCTGGGACAGGCATCTCCACGCTTGGGGGTTCTGCTGCAGGCCCCCCCAGGTTGACCCCAGTAGTGGTAAGGCTCTCTGTGGTGAAGTAAGCGTCCTCGTGACAGCTCTGCTCCTGAGGAGTGCGTGGCTCCTCCTCCGAGCGCGCAGTCACCCCAATGCACTTCTTCACGTCTGCCTCACAGAAGTAGGCACTGTCCATGGTGAAGCTTTGTTCGGCACAGCCCTCACACTCCACTCTCTCCACCTTGGATTTCTGCCCGGGAGAGAGGACAACACTGCCTGCTGGAGTAATATCACTCACTTGCGCATAGAAGTCAGTATTTGCCAGGGAATTCTGGTTACTTAGCTGGGTGTGGACCGGGGGACTGGCTGCTTCAACGCTGTCGGCAAAAGGTGGCCACGGCTCATTATTTTCACACGGAATTTTAGCATTTTTTGTATTAGGCTCTTGGGTGTCTGTATCTAGGATTAGACTAGGAAGTGACTCGTTATCTTTCCTATCAAGGCACAAGAGATCTTCTTTCTCAGTTATCTTTTTGATCTGATCAATATCGGAGATGGCATCACATGTGTCACTAGCACTGAAGTCTGTCTCTGGAATATCWGGTTCACAACAACTGGCCCGTCCAGAATCATCATCCTTTGCCCCCAGGCAACTGTGTGATTTCAGATGATCATCAGTTAGGAGCCGGTCGGTATCTGAACCTCTGTTCTTTTCATCAGGGTCCTCTATGTCCAACTCTATGAACTCAACCCACAAGTCGTCGTTGTACAGCTGCGTCTTGTAGCTGTCATGGCTGGCTAAGATGGAGTTCACTTCATCCAGCTTTCCTTTCTGTAAAGCAAGAAAAAATGAATGTTATCATGGGACAAGTGAACATGTTTGTGCTTTTTGAGATGTTAACTTAAGGGAAGATAAGTGTAGCTGATGTAATAGCTGCCAGGTCAGTTCCTCTGTACTTTATAAAACCACATTTATGGCAACTCCCTTCACTTCACGCTTTCTTTCTGTAAAACTGTTCTGCCTGGAGAACAATTCTCACCTGGTACTACTGCAATGAGTCTCACTCTGAAGACTTTAGATCATAACATTACCTTTAGGAGATCAGGGTCAATCCCTTTAATCTTTGGAACTGGCACAGGAGGAAAAATCAGCATTTTTAATCTGGAAAAAAAAAAGATTTTTTTTTTTAGCTCGAAATGCTTTTTTATGTTGCAAAACAAAGAAATTTTACATTGCACTTAGACTTATTTACTTCAAAACTGAAATGTTTGAGGATTCAATTTAAAATCATRCTAACGAGAAGGATTGTTTCCTTCTCCCCTTCAAAATAAAAAAAAAAAGCTTTTTGCAGTCTGCCTTGTTGAAATCACATACATTTATGCTGGACTCCACTTCAGACTCCATTTTTGATTATTTAATGGTCTATAAAAGGAGAGTAAATTCTAAGAGTACTGTCAATAATTACCCTTTTTACATAATTTTCAAAGGAACCCAATGCAAGCCTCACTGTTCTGAGTGACTCTCCTCTTTTTTCAGGGACAAAGCAGTCTTGCAGACAGCCAACAAATGCAAATAAGGGAAAAGAATTAGAGGAGTTACTGAAAAAGAAAAGAAACACCACCACAAAAAAATCAGGCTAATATTTTGCCATCACTGTGATGCCTTTGTCTTCCAAATTATTAATGTAGCAAGTAATTTATAAAAATGTCAGCCTGGGTTTTATCCTTGTAGAGAGAACTAGCCACTTGGCTAACGCGTAATTGCTCAGTATAGGAACAGATATTATTCCAGTCCTTCATAAAACAAGTAAATTTCAAAGTTCATGAGAAAAAAAAGCAAAACAAAACAGAAAGATGATTCACCATTAATAATAATCCAATATCAGTGGCTCATGCCTGTCACCTCCGTTTTACCTGTGTGCTTCTTTTGCAATGCAGGAACTCTACTTTCTGAAAGGAAAATCTATCATTCTCTTTATACTGCCTCACTTGCCTACTTCAGAAGGTAAACTATGAGAATAGAAGAACCAAATCCAAGTACTAGTTTTGCTGTATAGCTAATTACTTTGGTGAAGACCAGGAAGGATCTGAGGGGTCTTAAGAAGTGCTAGAGAAAGGTTTAGGTACCTTCTGCCAACCCGTGGAAGGCCCAGACTCCCTAGGTATTAAATTTCTTTGGCAGTAAGTGAGAATGGTGGCCAAAATCCCAGTAACTCTCCCGTTGCTCCCTGGAGGGGCTGTGCTTGCTGAGCTCTGGCCATGCTCTCGCCATGCTCTCAGAGCAGCTCCAGGACACAGCACTGCATTGACAAAACAGATGAAAATGTCTGCCTCTCATTGCCTGAAGAAACTGTTCAGGAGTGAGACCTGGGCTCAGTTTCTTATCTTCAGATAGTTCAAAACTGCATCTCAATTTTACAGAGAATGAGTTAATTGCTACAGCTAGGACAGTTCTCCTACAGAGCCCTGTTTGGGTCTAGCGATGTCAAAGTTGAGGGGGATAAGAATTGGTATCTGGTAGCCTGCAGCCGCAGGAGCAAGCTGAACCCTGGTATTTTGCATTACAGGAGATCTATGCATCTCCTCCTCCATGGAAGGAGGACTTTGACTCCACTACAGTCAAAGGGTTCTGGCTAACAAGTCCAGAAAAACTTTCCAGATAAAGGACCCTCAGTGGAGGAAAGCCTCCTCTGAGATTCATGAAGAGCATCTAAGGTCCAAAGGAGCTGTGATCAGATATGCTTCAGCCTTCAGGATTTTGTGACCAAGACGAAGCCACTCCTTGCTCAGAGTGTTGACTTGAGCAAGCTCCAGGTCCTACGTGTGAGCTGCTCTCTCCCCATTCTGATGCATCTAGATTTTCTTATACCTTGCATCAAAAGTCTTGATGTTCTAAACCTGGATGCTGTTGCAGCCTGAATGGCTGCCTAAAAGTCAAGCATTGGCAAAGCTTTGAGCTGCTTCCCTATGTTTCTTCTCAGAGCTAGCTCAAACTGCACCCATTGCTCCATCTTGTTCTCATTTCAATGATTTGCTGTCATGCTGGTATGAGAACAACCATCAGTGTTCATTTTCAGAGCATATATATGAGTCCACTGACAGGCATGGGGGATGGACTGTGATATTGCTCCATAATGTAGGATGAGGCTGCCATGACATCCAAACGGAATTAGTTCTGCCCAAACCCGTCCCTGAACACACATTTGAGGCAATGAATTTGCTTTGAAACCATTGTGTCATTTTTATAAACGACACAATCCTGAGCTTTGTTTTGTTTTAGTCATTTGTAGGAGCAGCAATCTGTTCACAGAGACCAAATACTGCTTTATGACTAAAGCTCTTTCCCTTGGCTCAGTGAAGGAACAGTGATCATCTGAACAGACTAACAACAAGAAATATATTGACAGATGTTTGGTGCCATTTTTGAACAAAAGTGGGTAAACCAGTATTTACAAAACTTCAACAGCCTAAAAACCTAATCTCATTCAGAGCCTTCAGTAAATTAGCCAAACAAATGCTGTACTATAACAGTGTTCTGCAATCCAAAGGGTACAGGATTCCCACTCAGACTCCCACTGCTCAAGGCTCAGTGCTTATAAATGCCAGCATCCATGTAGCTTAAGAGGATGGGAAACAATTCCAAAATAGCTTTTAGTCCCACAAATTGAAAGGAAGGGAGGAAGGGAGGGAGGGAGGGAGGAAGGAAGGAAGGAAGGAAGGAAGGAAGGAAGGAAGGAAGGAAGGAAGGAAGGAAGGGAGGGAGGGAGGGAGGGAGGGAGGGAGGGAAACAGCCTATTTTTTAAACTACAAGTTAAAAAGAACTGATAGATGAAAACTGCCCACCTTGGTTGTTTAGACAACAGAACTAAGATCACTGTTACAGCCAGCCCACATGCTCCGAAGATGACGACTAAGAACCAGGGAAACTCTATTTCTGTAACAACAGAACAAAAATTTATCAGCAGGAATCTGCACCTCTGTTGCATCTTTAATTTTAACCTTCTCTTCAGCTGCCCAAAGGTTCCAAAGCTATAAAAAAAAAAACAACAAGGGAATTTCTGGTTACTTCAATGTAAAAACTTTGTAATAAGCAGAAACAAAAAGACCCTTTCAGTCTCAATGGCTTCTGTATTGCATTTGTGAGTCWACTTGGATCCTTGCAGAAACAGACTGAGTTTTTAATGTAAACAAAATCCTAGCAGAGACAACATAATAAGCAAAAACAGTCATGAGAGGAAYGCTCTGCCTGCCTGGAGCGTGCGAGTAGCTGTGACACTGTGTAACGCCGCAGACCACGGTACTGCCTCTGCCGGCCAGCACGGMGTGAACGCTATTTATAGTGTGGAACTCCACTGAATCACAGGCAATCCATCCCTCTCTCCCAGAAACTAAAACATGGCTGTGTCAAAAATCACAGTGCTAACTCTTTCTATGGTGGACTACTAATTTTATGTTGTGAGCAGTGTCAAATGCAAAAAAAAAAAAAAAAAAACCCCTCTTTCTTTTCCTCTTTCCATTTACATTGGATAATGTTACAAGGAGAGAATGTAGCTGACTGATAAAAGTGGTTTGGTAGGAATAAAGAATAATGCTGATAAATGTTTTCTCTCTTAAATACTGGCAATTACATCATACTCAAGCTGGTACTGTAGAAAACACAATGCAGAAAAAATTATTCTGGCTGTAGTCTTAGAATATTCTCGTTTGTTTCCAGTGTTAAGTTTCCTATAAAAACTTCATTTATTTTTGTGCCCAAGAAATACTGGATTGGGCATTTTATGGTTCTATATTTGAATATAAATATATGGCCTTTTGGAAAAAAATACTTTCAGGTAGTGGTTCTAGTTCTCTGTTCATAGTTGAGATTTTGACTGGAAATCTTTTATGCAGATAGGCCTATCTTAGATTGTTCCCAATTTTGATAAAAGAGAAGCAGTAGCTCCTTGCCATGGCAGTGAGAGCTGTGAATATCCCGCTGTGCTGCTTTGAAAGACTGGAAGATTACATTCAAATTTAAATGCTTTAAAAAAAAATCAAATTTACTTCTATGTTCTTAAAGGTGAAGTTCCAAAGAATCAAAAATAAATTTCGTCACACCAGAGTATCCTGTCTCAATTTTCTTGTGCAGAATTCCCAACTTAGCCCCAGTTCAACAACTCAATACATAGAGAGGAARCTATCCATGAAATCAGATCACTGCTGCTTTGTGATAATTACAGATATTTGTGWTGTAGTGACTGAGGAAAACTGTGCAAGTATGACCACTTAGACTTTCAGAGTATTTTCATTTTGTTCCTATGAAAATTGTGACAAGTTCAGATTGATTTARGGTAACAAAAATAATTCCTGGTGTTCTGATAAAACAGGAATAAAAATATTAATATAAAAAAGATAAAAAAGGGGGCATCTAGCCAGATTTTGAAAGATAAGAGTTATGATTGGTTTTATTTAACACCTCCACTAATATTCCAGACAACAAAGTCTGTTAAAAGAATGTGCTAAAGAGATCATATTTTGAAGAACAGGTTTAGTACCTCAGACCTGAAAATTCTTTAGGATAAGGCACTACCTCATGCTTTTAACAGAGCAAAGGTCGTTTCTCTACCCAGRAGTTGTTTCTTCTTCTGTCTTATTTAATAGCACTTTAAAAGCAAGTACAAACACGAAGGAGGCAAACTCTGTCCCTGCTAGTTTAAGGCTCATCAGGAAAGCACAGCATAATTCTAATAACAAACTCAGGCAGCTGTATGGAAGGGACAATTYTCTGCCTTACTTTTAAAGTGATCAGTTTACACAATGAAGTGTGAGATTTAATTGTTGCTATTTTAGACCCTATGTGGACAACAGCAATTATTGTTTCGGGTTTTTGAAGTTATCTATATTTTTGCTCTCGGAAGAGCTGTGATTTTTTCCTGAGTTTATTTCTGAACACATATATGAAAGTTATACATTCTCAATCCCACCAAATGAATTTCACTTAGTAGGCTGAATTAGCAATATATTCAAGTATAAAACATAAAAGGAAAGAATAAATAAATAAATAGAAAGACAAAAAAATACAGTAATGCTTACAAAAACACTTTGCTACTTTTTGCTTCTTTACCTTCAGGACAATGAACAAGTTCAAGGCCTGCTTGAGAAAAAGATACATAAAGGATTTCACTGAACTCCCCAAATTTTTCAGAGGTACGTTGTCTTGATCGAACTCTTATCTCATAATCTCTTCCCGTCTTCAGAGAATACAGTGGGACCATTGTGGAGAGCCTGGGTTCTAACTGTAAAGAAAGAACGACTGTGGTTTGTTTGTTTGAGTTGCACTTGCAAACTTAGCTCAAAAATTAGCATTCAAAGGCATGTTTGCCACCTGGAACTTGTAAAGGCACCACAAGAAGAGTTCAGAGAAAATTCACACCATTTACTTTGGAGTTAGTAGCCACCAGGCTCTGCTGTGATTTAGGAGATGGGGAGGGAGAATCCAAGTTCTCTGTAAGTCCAGTCAATGAAACAAAGCAGCTGTGCCCACATACACGGCAAGTAGGTGGTGTGAATATCTCCCAATGATCTTATCAAGTTGTAAACCTTTTTCTTTTTTTTTTCTGTTATAACACAGCATTACCAACTTCACAGTGCCAAAAAACTTGTTCAAATAACATGAAAGTCCTAAAACTACTGCAATCCCCATTACAGATTCTGTTTTAAGAAGGAAAATGAATTAAAGGCCTCTTAGACAAATGCGTTAGAATCTGCCTTTTTTTTTTTTTTTTTTTGGTAAGACTGCATAGCTTCCAAGATTTTAAAGTATATATAAGTCAAGTAACGCTTAGAGACAATGGTAGAGCTGGGATCATACCACAGTTCTAAAGACTTTTACATTTAAGCATTAACTGCAACATACTTGGATATTGCTGCATATGGAGGTTTTAATATGTGAAATCTCTCCTTATACTCCTATATTTTCTCACACTATACTCTTATATCTCCTTAYACTCCACATATTTTCTTACATTAACACACCAGCACAAGCACACAAAAAAGAAGGAAAATGTACACAAAATATAAATACACATGGCAGAGGGAACACCATCTACACACTAGTCCATTTTACTTATTTCATGCTATGAAGTCAGAAAGAAAGAATATGCTAAATTTTTTGCACGAGATGTTTTTACTGAGATATCTAAAGGAGATTCTTATGACAGGGATGATAGGGCACTAATGCCCAGGACAGCAGTGGCCAAAGCACTTGGAAAGCGCACTATATAGACCAAAATGGAGACCTGGAAAATATGAAGTGTAATTACTGCAGCTGTGTAATTTAAATGACCTCAGCTTGCTAGAGGTACAAGACGCACTTCAGAAAGTGCTAATAAGGAATAGCATATTTGATCAGAGGGATCAAATCAATTGAAAACTATGAGAGACACCTGATGAAAGGTAACCAAAAAAATGAATGGCAGTGCATAGGAAACTCATTTAGGCAATTTAGGCCCTGGTTTTAACTGTCCCTGGCGGAAAGCAGAGTGAAAACWGGGCGAAGCGCCGAACCAGGGCTCAGTTGAGAGAGTGCAAGGCATGGGCAGCACGAGGTGGGCGCCCACACAGCCCCGTGCTCCGTGGGGATGGCGGCCTGGCTGCCCAGCGCATTCCTCCCCCAAACAACCCCCCAGCACATCAGGCTGTGCTGCCCTAAGAACACTGCAATGCAAAACTGACCTTTTCCAGCAAAAAAACAACGAGATATGAGAGCTAGCAGCAAGTYCCCCCTAGACCAGTCTTCCTCACAGAGGACTGACTTGTGGTCATCAGTGACATCCCACAGGAGGTAGATTTGGGCCTGATTTTTTTTTGTGAATAAATGAAAAGTTCAACCCAATCTAAACTATGGTAACTACTAGAGRAGAAGTAGACTTTCAAGATTCTCTACCTTGCATATATTTTTAGGCTCTTCATAGTTACCCACTCACTCCTAGATCATCCCTCTTCACTATTCTTCATATGATAAGCGAGTTTCCATACCTCATTAGGAGAACACCACAGCCTCACAGAGACCGTGTAACTGTTGCTCCTCATAATGAGCAAACTTGCACTGCCATTAGAGGGGACAGACGTTCAGTCTAGTGAGGGAAATGGGCAACACTTCAAGGTAAGATAAGAAATTTGAAAAGGTACTCAACAAATAGCTCATAACAACAGCAAAAGCTTTGCAAAAGTAGCTACATTAAATTTGTACTACTGTCKCATGAACAGTGGCTAAATGAGGATGAGGATTTTATTGTTTTAGGAAGTTGCTCGGGAAATTATTTAGATTCTTTCAACACTGTGATTAACCTTGCAGTACTTTATTAATTAAATAATGTTTAATCCCTCTACCAATATGTAAGCTACATAGTTTCAGTTATCAAATGGACTGAAAGAAGCAGGTACAAAATACATGGGAAAAAAACAGGTTCATCCACCAAAGACCATAAAATAATTTCACAAACCAGCCTGATTGGGTGAGTACCGTAAATTTGTTTTTGTATCAATTACATGTAGAAAGCTTTATGTCAAATGCAAGTAGCCAGAGATCATCCTTYGTGTATAAAACTAGTAATTTAAAAATTGAAAATGTGACTTTCCATCTATCATATAGTAGCTCCATAYATCTACCAATAGTACCTCGTTACTGCCTCAACATTTATTTTACAAGATATCTGCAGAAAGGAATGCGAAGAACAAAATCACAGCTCCACTTTTGCCTGCTGCTATTGTCTTAGTCCAGACAATATTTTGTCTAGAAATTCCACTTTTGTGTTCTAATTGATAGTTTTGCAAGGAATTACGCCATGCTGAGTAAGTTGAAAGGCAGGATAATACCCGATACAGCTCCAACAGAACATGACCAGGGATACTATTTCTTGAGGCAAGCAGTGCATTTAGCAATTCCTTAAAGATTTTCTGAAAGAAAGAAGATGGAACTTCAAGTCTTTGCCCCTTCCAGGAAGAACTAGTCTCAAGACATACTGGAATTACTGAGTGTAATGGAACTAGCAAAGAGATTTATTAGTGTGTTTGTATGATTGATAGCTAAAGGCTCATAAAAAAAATCTAGACCTGGCATTTTTAAAGAGGTAATTGCATTGCCATCTTCTTTTGTAAGTCTCGTACAAAACCCTACAGGCTTTCAAGTTGTTCCTGTATTGATTTATTGCCTAAATTTAACCCATTAGTAGGCTTTAAGATATAGATGGTACACAGTACACAGTACACAGTGTATACAGTAAATAAATAGAGCCAAACTCAGTACACAGAAATTCAGACAAGGAAAAGTTAGGAAATATTATAGACATTATAAGCCTTGCTTGACTATGGACTTACTAATAAGAAATAATCAGAAAAAGTTAGCATTAAAAAGGGTTGGAAGTGAGAAGAGGTCAAAGGCCTTCCACAGATGTGGCCAAAAAAATCAGCTTGGCTACAAATATTTCACTCGGTAAATCTGTCTTTTATAAATAAAGATCAATTCTTGAGTGATATCTGCATTCCTTCTGCCAGTTATCTCATTCCTATACATAAAATGATACAAAAAAAAGTTTTACTTTTCTACTCTGGAATCATGTTCATATTTCATCGAGCTGATGTTTAGGAAGAAGTCCCTATATCCAAATGTTCTGCAACACGCTGACATTTAGCCCAGACATTCAGGCAAGCAGAATACAATTTTTTTCCCCATAATAGGAAAAATAACTTCATGAGAAATTAGTGATCTTCAAAAGAAAACTTAAAAGATTCAGAGTATAAACTTTTTTTTTTCCAAGTCCTATTATAGACACATTTTTTACATTGCTTTCTTGTATGGAACTTACATGACTTATCTATGTTTCATTGGTTGTATTTATAAAAATTAAATTATAAGTATTTTCTTCTTAAATCTTTTTTTTTTTCATATATACTAGAATTTTACAGATACCTTGGAAAATCTGAGCAGACACTGCGACATTTCCCAAGAATAAAATACCTATGCCAACTATTATAAGTATGCATGCACTGTTTCAAACAGTTGAGATTTAAGAAATCAATAGAGAAATATTTTATCCTTGAAAAACTTACATATATCTGATTATTACTATACTTCCTAATCTAATAAAAGGATCTCAGGGTCTCTTACTATTAACTGGTGTGGTAAGAATCTGGACATGAAAAGTTAAGATATTTGCCTGAAAACTTCAGGAGAAAACAGGTATATTGTTTAGTACTTAAGGTATCATCTAATTAGCAATTACAAACCTGTTCATCTAATTAGCAATTACAAACCTGTTACTTTTCAGAATAGTACAAAAGAGTTAGGGACAGAAGAAGCCTGTACTGTACTATTTTTACATAACAAGTATTTGCTTCATACCTCCTTCCATTTTGTCTCATTAACTTCTTTGTACTGCAATTCATACTCCAGAGTAATCCATCCCTTCTGAACATCTGCTGTTGGTGGTGGATCCCATCTTACTTGGATATCCCCATGGATCCCAGTCTGACTAGTATTTAGCAGAGTCCAGTTAAGGTGGACAGGGGGATCAGGTAGTACTGTTTAAACAGAGTATTTGGAATAAAACAGCCAGTTTTCAATGTGAAATGACCATTCTTGCTACACACTGCTAAATGATTTCAGGACTTAACAAGCATCTTAATCACACATATGCTGATTAGCTTCTATGAATTAATGATAAAGTAACTAAAAGCTTAATAATAAGACAACATCCTGCCATTGGAGGCAGACATGCTCAGTGAAAATSTTATTCAAATGACTAATAAAGACTTAGACTATATTACCTATTACACCTTATTTTCCAATAGCAGCTTATAAACCACTGAGACATTATCAACTATCCATCAAAAATTAAAACTGTAAATTTAAAGTTCTGATTATGAATAGAAATGTTCCTTGCAGGAATAATGTGGTAATTACAGGTGTGTATAGCACTGATCTGAACAAACAGTAACATCCAGAAAGTCAAAGTACAGCCACAATTCATATGGCAATAAATACAAGCTCTAGCTTAGAAGTGCTAGGCACGCTGATTCTGCAGACTAGTGCTGATTTGGGGGAAAACAAAACAAAACAAAACTTATTTGCTAAAAGAACTTTACAGAATCAAGATTTAGTGACACWTTGTTGCTCACAGAGAACAAGGTGAGCAGTGTCCATTAGGAAGGGCTGCGACTGAAAGCAAACTCGTCTGCATATGTTGCATATATTTGAGTGACCACTGCTTTCATGAAGAGAAACTACAGATTTACTTCTATCCTTCTAACATTCTATCACCCTAGGTAAGACTTTCTGGTGTGGCTCACATTACATGTGTTATAAAACCAAATCCTTTTCTATATATTATGATTTTTAAAGCTAACCTTCCCATGAGGGAAGTATGAACGATAAGAAAGCTGAGAGAACCATGCCTATTGTGKTAAAAATATATAGAATTAAAATGCAAAATGGAAACATACCTATCTCATCAACACTGAAACATTTTTCATCAAATACTTCATCTTTATTGGCAAGCTTAACACAATATGGTATCCAAATAGAGGTGTAAGACGTGTTGAAATAACAGCTATTCTCTCCTGCAGTGATATAATCAGGACATTCTTTCCAGTCGTCATCATTCCTAGAATGACAATAGACACATAATACAAATGAGAGAGAGATTTACAGATTTCATAAGATACAAATTATAGACGTTACAAGACACACTGTTGATAAGTCACAACTTGTATGGAAGTGAGAAATATATGTCATTGTGATTGCTTATTGTGATTTACAAAGAAGCCAAACCATTATCCAAGCTGCCTGTATAGATGCACCTGGGTTCTCATGAACCTCAGYGGAATTTCCATGGTTTGGGTGGCTCTAATGGTTCACACGGACAAGTGCCTGAGGATGAATGCGGCCAGAGGCCCGGCACAAACCCATGCCAGGAAAGAGAAATACTGGGGATACCAGACTTCTAAGACACGGGCTTGGAACTACTAGTGAAGAAACTAATGGTGGTTTTTTTTTTTTTTCCATTTCAATTTTGTTCAGAAATTCACATTATTTGCAAATTACAAAACTGCAACAGGAATATCATATTCATACGAATCATTWCACCTCCTTAAGGTGAGGTGAAATCTCACCTTAATCTCACCTTAAGGTGAGGTCAAATCTCACCTAAATCCCAAATTATCTTCAATTAAAGCAAAATAGGAAGGACCARATTGTTAGAAATATCCTATAGGAAAAATGACAGATGTTTACTCATGTTTCTAAAATCACATTAGAAAAACAAACCTTGCTGTGAATAGTCCTGCTGCTGCTGCTGTTCATCTCTAGCACTACTCTCACATTAAGTAGATTGAATCTTTACAAACATGCTGTTAGATGCTTCCTGGAGAAATAACAGTCTTGTTCTTTAAAAAAAATGTAACAAAAAAGTCTTTTCCTACTAAGAGCCACTCAAGCTACACAAGAGGATGAGGATGAAACAGAGTTATGGCAAGTGGAGCCTTTAATATTTGAGTGGCTGTTTAAGAACCAAAATTTGAAATGCAGATGCTACATAACCTGAGAAAAGAGCTTTCATGCCACTAGGCATAGGTTTTGCTCTCACCCAGTGAGGCTGGATGAGCACCCGATGAAGGTGTAATGAGATAATATCCCCTGTGCTATGTTTGATACTCAGTTACGTGATACAGTTGTGGCCCAAGCCTTAAATGATGTTTGCACATTAAAACAGAAATATTTTCGAAGCAGATGTTCAGTTCACACCTTTTATCACAGTATACTTATGTCTGGGGCAAAGATAAAATATCTGATCTGTTCCACCTATGTGGCACTGCTTATCGCAGCTTAATTAATTTTTAAAGTTTGCACTCTCTTGGTCCTTGCTGCTGACAACTGCCAGCTAATCATTTACATCGAAACACTGRTTTTTACCTTGAATCCCTGTATTTCTGAAAGGTCCAGGGAAACTAAAGCCTTACTATTAAGCTTAAGTTTCCTAAGCAAATGTATCATCTCTAGTGGAAAGTTTAAGAAGATATATGAAAACCTATACATTATTTGGAACATAAATTCCCTTTAACCTCCAGTTCATGTGCACAGGAGATTTCTATCCTTAACAGCTAGTACTGGCAATGTGAATGTCCTCTTTCAGACTACTCACTTGAACACCTGAAAATTACAGATGCTTAAGTGAAATGCSAATCTAAGTTATTTAATTCAAAAGGACTCTATAAAACATTAACCCCAGTCTCAGAGCAGATCTTCCAGACATACACATTCAGAATTTAAGCTAGCATTTGATCAATGAGGCTTACATAAAACTAACAGAAAAATTTGAGAAGAACTTGGATCCAAAATCCACTTACAGACTGCAGAGACATAATGAATCTCACAGCTACATGTTAGGTTGATCAGAAATAAACTGAAAATCCATACTAAAACTCTCTCCCTAAGCCATACAGTGTCCAAATTTGTATTCTGCAACACAGATCTGTATTTATTAAGAAAGTTTTCTTAATTATCTCCCAACTAACACTGKTCACTCCAAGAGGCTTTATAACTAACAAAGAACTGTAACATTGAAAAATAAGCATTTAAAACACAATTTTATGCCCTTAAAAAACAGTATGGTTCATTTCATAGCACGAAAGCAATGCAATAACAGGCATATCTAAATATATGACTCCTCCCTTTCTTTTTCCATTTTATTTACCTTTTCATATACAACAGCTGTATTGTTCCAGGAGAAGTTAGATTATAGACATTTCCATCGGTCCAATAACATGAAAACGTCTCCAGTTCAGGTGATCTGCACTTGCTGATTTGGGGCCACCGCAGAAGTTCTGTCACAAAAAAAATGGCAGGGGTCAGAATGAGACTTAAATATATTAAAAAGACTATCACACTGTTAAAATGGAACTTGCCGTTTTTATGAGCAATTAACTTTTTCTTTCAATCGCTTATGTACAATGAGGTAAGATTTAAAGTCCTGTTACACACATATATCATATATGTATACATCTAGTTGACGATCCCTGTAAATGACGAAATAGCAAGAAAGGAAAAAAGCTATTATGCAGTGTGGAAATTTTGGTATCGCAGCCACATACACCCAGTGTGGATACCCCAACACAGTGGCTGTAGTTCAGTACAGACACAGCCGAACTAGCCCAGAACTTGCTTTGAAGCACCGTGCTACTCTAGAGCTCACCATTAAACTAACTACAACCTCAATATTTACCCAGCTGAGCAGTTTTGCAATGTGACCAGGCACTGCGGGGCTAAGGGTGCAGCTACCTTGAACTGCGCTCAGGTTTGCTGCACAGTGTGTAGATACAACCTTGCTCTAGGAGAGATAAGGGCAGCTCTGAGCATGTGCCTGCCCTGCCACATGTTGCTTTTTCTGTTCATTATTTCTCTTCTTTGTCAAAACTGAAAGGACCTACGACTGTGAAAGGGCAGGTACAATTTGTCAACCTGGTTGATTAGTCAACAGAAGCTGTGGGTATGATTAACTGTTTCCAAAATAAACACCCACCTTCTTCCTGATTTTAATGGTCCAASGGTTGAACGAAGCAGTCATCCAAAAATACCAACATTTCCTATTTAGACTCTGACGATTTCCATGGGGARACCACATGAATGTGGAAGTGGCTACCTCCTTTCACCAGCTAGCTGCGAAATATGATCATTTGCTAAGAAAATGTCCCAGGCACCTAAAATTTTGGTACAGGATGGGTATTTATGAAAAGCGGAATGATCCCTGGACAGTGAGGAAGACAACACTGCTGAGTTGTGCATGGGAAGTTCTTTGCAAATATTTTTGCAATGTCCCAACTGAAAATACCTGGTACAAAATATCAGACATTGAACACTGAAGAAAGTATCCACCCAATACAGGTGCTGCTGCCCATGCATGAGGAKTCCTGCATGTGGAGTTTACAGCACATTGACTCTTTAGTTAAGGCTTACACAGACTACAGACACTAAATGACAGAGCAGGTTGTTCTTTAGTTTATGGCTCCAACTGTCCCRTCTACATTCCACACTGCCAACCCGTTACTGAAACTAACAGTAACTAATACGTGAATACTTTGACCTTCTGATTCGCTCGCCTGTATCATTGCCTCATTTAACACGTTGGACATTGAACAAGGACCGAACAGAATTACGTAAGTAAGAGATTTTGCAAGTTTGTCAGCTAAACCAAAAAAGTATTTAAGTTTTTTTTCTTAACTTAAAATAACTGATGTTTGTTTCAAAGACTTAGGATTTTTACTATTCCTTAGCTAGAAAATTGACTTTTACTGAACTTTAAAAAAATCTGTTTTTTTTTAATTAAAAAAAGAAGTGAAATGTTGCAACAAATCAACAAATGGAAAGATCAAATTGTTCTTTTCCAAAAAAAAAAAAAACAAAAAAAAACAAAAAAAACAAAAACATTTTGAGTATAGCACGTTGTTTTGTTTGGTAGGGCATTCAGTGTTTGACAGATTAGGCCTAAAATCCCTAAATACTTTGTGCTGACATTGAGCTAAACTTTAAAAATGTTCACATCAGTCTTCAAATCAATTTTTATCTGGTAAAACACACATTCATACTCCTGTAATATACTGCCAGAAGAAAATGGAATAAAAGACACAAGAGCACTACTGTATTTTTCATTTTTAAAATTCATGAGGCTCCAGCTTTCAAACTTTACCTTTCTTTTCTATTTAATAGAAAACCAAACCCTTGTTTAAAAACAAAAGGAAGAAGAAGAAATGAAATTTTGTGCACCTACTTCGGAGACATGAGTAAAACTGCCTCAACTGCCTCAAYACCTATAATCAAGAAGAGTCTCTCTCTCCTTCTATAAAGAGATAATGTGCATGGAAATATATGTTATGGTTTTTCCTGTTTCTATCCTCGACTGTAGCAAGAAAATCAAGAACAAATACAGACCATTTCACTAAAACAGGTAAGAACTTAAGAAAATAAATTACTGAAAAAAGCCTCCTAAATTAGAATATTTTTATTGATGCTTGCACTGTATTTGTAACCAGGACATGAAATACTTAAGGTCCATGCTGATCCTCATCTCCAGGTGTAAATAAAATCACACAATCACTTCTTAACAGGACRTAACATGATATAACATGAATAACAGCTGAAATCAAACTTCATTTATACTTTGAGAGACTGAGTARGAGTTCAGATATCTTAGCAGTGAACCCAGTTGAACTCATAAGCTTTATATATAAGCAAAATTAAGGTCTATAGAATACATAAAATCTTCTGGAAAAAATGGATTATAAAGCAGGCAGGATTAGTATCAGTTACAATGGACAGGATTAGGACTTCACACGGAATACAGATTAAGATGTGGTTCCCAATACCCTAACTTTAGAGGAAAGTATTTCTAAGGACACAGATGTCTACTTTCTCYTGAGAAGATTCTGATTAATAATTTGTACTTTTGTATCTCATRACTATTTCCATTTGTAAGGAAAAGTACCTTCTGATTATTTCCAATCTGTGTGCGCCAAATTTTTAACTTTCAAAACAGCAGGTCTTTGTGATGTACTGGAGGAAACTTCCGTCAAATTGATTTGTTTAATGCTTGGCCCCTTTGGGGTAGATATCCTGAATTCTGTATTCCCCCCAAAATCAATTATGAACATTTTACAGGACCTTGTGTGAGCTCCATCTCCTGAACAAACTGTACCAGAATGTGATAAATGAACACAATAGCTCAGTGGAATGCAGTTAGGCATAAAAGCAGCAAGCTACTGAAATAAAGGCTGTCAAACTGAGATTTAAAATAGACTAGAAAAGCAAAACAAAACATGGATGCATATTTGCTCCTTTTCTACCTCACCAAATAAATTCTGGTCAGATTGACATGAATGTAAACAAGCACTGCTTTCAAGACACTGCATATGGGGGTAGTTTGTAATCTCTTATACTTGGCTAAATATTCAGATTTGATGGCAGCAAATATGGAAAACGACTAAGAAAATCTGTGGCTTCTAGTATGACTGCTGAGAAGGTTTGGTAGAAAAGTTTGAAAGGAAAGTGAGTTGGGTTCAGTGGAAGGCAAAATGTTACACAACCAAAACCATGCTGCAGGAAGGAAAATCTCTTCCCATTCTGCATTCATTTTGTTATGACCACAGATTAGCTATGGTCTAAATTCTGGCTCGACTTGAAAAAACTGTGCCAACACAGTAGCTAAAACAATAGTGCAGTTTACAAAAAGAATCAGGAATGCAGATGCGCCATCTCCTTTCATTTGTCCGTAGGTCATCAGCCTGCACTTTTCCATTAAGTGTGCTTTCAATGCTATATTTAATCATTAAAAACAGAATACTGTGGCTGCAGTTTACAGAAATTATTTCTTAGATGGGCTGTGAAACTAAAAAAGTCTTAAAGACAGGCTGGAGTTCTCCCAATGCTAACTTTTCTACAAATGAATTTTCTTTCAGGTCTATCCTAGGTAGTGTTTTATTTAAAATTCCAGCTCACAAAATCAGCCTTCAAAGGGAGCAGGTCATGAGTGTAGAACAGCAGTTGTTAATTAATTCTCACCTTTGGGAAAGCCCTACGGCCCTCATGAGTTCTAAGGGCTTGTCAAGAACAACAGCAGTGTGGTGCAAGAGTCACAAAGAAACATCTCCTACTAGTATGGTGTGCGTAAATCCATAAGGATACCAGGAAAAAAAATCAAGGTAACTTGATTAGTAAGCTAACTTAATCAGTAAATTGTGGTTGTGATTGTGGTAATTTTAAAAGGTTTTGGTAAAATTGACAGGTACCACAACTTAAAACTATCCAACTTAGAACAAACTTATACTTAAAATAACATGTACTAATATAGACATTAATGACAGAGGAACCTTATGTAACAGTATATATCTTCCAATGATCAACTCCCAAAGCATACACAGTGCATCACTGGTACTGCATAATAGAGAAGGATGGAAAAGTAGCGGAGCTACATCTAAAATTGGTAACAGTTATGAGAAATTGGAGTGTTGTTTGCTGCAGCTCAAATTTGTACATTCTGTCAATTAGGATCTGCTCCTGAATCCACTAAGCTCAATAAAGGCTGGGCAATTTATTTTAGTAAGAGCTTCATAATTTCAATTAGTGGTACCAGGAAGTTCTGATTCTTTCAAATTGCACAGCAAAATGGACAACGTTTGCTGTCAGTGGATGACGTTTTTAGGTACAGTCTAGTACTAATATATTAACACACAAAAGGCACATGGGAAGTGGGATGCAGCCAGCGGAGACTGCAGCACTTCCTGATCAGATGCTTCCCGATTATGTTCTTGCCACAAAGGGCAGTAGCAAAGTGTTGGAACAATTCTGCAGGAAAAAATAAGAAGAATTTCTTTCATATCAGTAGTGAGTGAGATCCTTTTACATAATGTAATTGAAAGAAAGTGAAATTTAGCAACTCTAAAATAGATGCTGTATTGCTATGTGAGTTAAAGAGTGTATTTTGCCTATGGCATTAGTCTAAATATTGCAATAGTTCTTAATAAAACCAATGCTCAGCTTCCTGAGGTTTGCCTACAAGAGTAGTCATTATGTTTTAACCACTGCATTAAGTCTCTTTCAGTGATTGCTATTTAGAGCAATGATAAATCAGCATCCCTGTAWAATAGACAGGAGCTGGGCACAGAGTTTTGCAGAATGCTAGAAATAATTTTTAACAACTTTGCAAAAAAAAAAAAAAGTTTGGTAACACCAAGAGGCAATGGACCTCTTGGTCCATTCTCTTTCAAATGAAACTTCTTTTTGTCTGTGTGAGACTGTAAGTTACTTCTTCACTGATCACATCTTATGTGCTCAT